TTTGTGATGTCAGGTGGCTAAGTGAGCATCTGTGTACGAGGGAGAGTGGAGAGTGAGAAACGGGCCCCGGGGGGAGGTGGGTGTGTGTGGAGAGGGGCCGGGCGATCTAAGTGTCCAGGTATAATGGTCGTCTTCCTGTGTCTGACCTCCAGAGCTGTGGAGGTCAAACCTTTCAACAATCCCTTTCCCTCAAACCTTTCTGCTGCCTTCATAAGGGTCACTTGTGGATCCTTACATTTCAGATCTTAATTCTTGCCATCATTTCCATTGGTTATGGTGTTTTGTAAGTTTTCTTATGTATCTTATGTATTTTTATGTAACTAACCTCTGTTTTTCTTTATCTTTCTCTCTATCTGACTTATCATCTCCTGATGCGCTCATGAGGCACTCATCCTCCTTTCATTCAATCATCTCTCCCACACGGCTGTTTCCAATTGCCCCAGAGACATTCCTGGGATGCCGGGGCATCATTGTTTCTGTACTGCGTGTACGTGTGTGTGCTTGCGTGTGTACTTGCTGCCGTTTTCACTCCCTTATTTTGAAGAGCAGCTCTGGACCAGTTGAGATGAATCGGATGGTTCTGCAGAAGAAAAATAGGAAAAAGTAGCAAAGAAAAAGGCTGCAAGTTCTGTATAATTAAAGAGCAATGCAACACAGGTCCCACCATCTCAGAAATACTTTATCAGGCCTCCCAGAAAAATCTAGGTATCCAAAGAATTTTATAGATTTCCAAAATGCCCTCTGGGATTTAGGCAGATGGATATAAAGTGATGTACATTCAAAGTGAAGCGTCTGCTAAGGAAACAAAGGTTTATGGTAATGGATTAAAGAAACTCTTCAAATAAATGTATCATAATTGGCACTCAGACATGCATATACTTTGAATTATGCATGTAATCCACATACAGACAAATGTGTGCGCTTTCAATTCGTTATACATAATATTGCATATTCGCATTAGTCTGCGAACTCATCTTACACAGTCACACAAACACACACACACACACAAGCGAGTTCATGCTTTCGCTTCGCTTCAGAGCAATGCATAAAAATATTATACCACAATTACATTACACTTAGCCACGACAGCTGGTCTGGACAAAAAGGCACCACAGCATCTCTTTAACTTTGTCCTACAGATTTATTTACATTCTTCTCTTTGTCCCATGACACATGACTAAGATCATTTAAAAGGCAGTGAGCCCGGCAATGGCAGGCGGAGTCGAGCAGAGCCATCTGCCTAAACGTGTTACGCCACAATCCAAGAGGATCCACATCTCCCCAGAAGAATTTATAATATAAATGTAGGGATTTTTAAACCAAATGAGATGTGCATGATGAATAGACAGACGGATTCATTGATAAATGGATTTGTTATACATTGGCCGTCCCTTGGTTCTCGTATTCAGAAACTTAACTGTGTTCAGCAAAGATGGTGGTTTGTCAAAAAGACTCCTCGTTGCGAAAGACATCACAAATGGGGACACGGACTCGGGAGAGTTTGTAATGTTCTGGTTTTGTCGCTCCGGAATGTTTGAACCTCATAAGGGGGAGATTTTTGTATGAAAAAAAAAGTGAATGAATGCAGAAATTAGAAGAAAAGAAATTCATTCTTGCTGTCATAGCAAGAGCATTCACTACAAACACACACAGGCACAGAGAGACAGGCACACACACACACACACACACATATTGATGCATACGGACAAACACACACAAAGCAACAGGGAGGCTACCAACAAAAACAAATTGCAATTGCCACAGCCTCTGCAGCCTGGCAACCAGGCCCACTGGATGTCTCATGATGAGTGTGCGTGTTCAATGTGTTTCTGCACCCCGCTCTCTTTTGCCAAAATGTTGTGTGACAGGTTTAGAATAGCTGGGCATCAGAAGAGAAAGTATAGATTATGTGAGGGAGCGTGAGGGAGAGAACAAGCAGCAAAATCCCCCTTATTTAGAGAAAAGCACAGTTTACTCGTCTCTCATCTTCGACTCCAGTCTCAAATCTCAAGTTGCTAATTGGACTGCAAATATTCGGCAGCGCGCCGAGGAGTAAGTTGTGGGCCGCACATCCGCAAGAGGTTCATCTGTCATCAGATGCATAGTACACGTAGCGTACGGCACGAAGCTTGAAATAAAAAAAAGATTCAAAAAAGGTCTTCTTCAAAGCCATGTACCAAACCAGGGCCCGCATAGATCTCTATAGGTCTCCTTTCTGTTGCTCTCGGCCTCAGTATTCATGAGCCACAGTCTGGAGTAAGTTGTGTCTCTGACCTATTACCATTTAAAAGTAACCCGCAGACCACCTGGGCATGCACACATGTGCACACTTGCAGGTGTGTGTTTCATGAGGCTTTGAGAGCCTGGAGAGCCTCATGAAACACATCCAGTGTTTAGCAATTCAAACCACATGATGAAAGTGCACTAATTCAAATAACATTTATTCATGAGCCGTGTCCTGTCTGTTCACCAATAAAGAACATGCACAATGACATTTAAATTACAAATATTGGTTTGTGTACCTTAATTCTCTTACAGTCTTTGTTCTGTTTTGTGTACAGCCACACATCTCTTGTCCTGTGTTCTCTATTCTGTTTTAACCTGTTTTTTTCATTAGATCTAAAGACATCTTTTGATGTTTAATGTTATCGAGGCAACCGAGTGCCGTGTGCACATTAATGTGTAGTAACGTCTCATTAAAGAATGCAGCCTTGCCTCATCTCCTCTCCGTCATTGTCACGTATTTGCCTTAATCTTCTTTTCTCCCTGTTCTCTCGCCTCCTTTTTACTTTCCTGTTGTTATTTTCCTTCTTCCTTTCCAGGGCTTGTAAACTTAAATGTTTGACTTTCACACCGTGGCAGTCAGATATCCTTATCTATCTACTGGAACACATACACCTCTGTGTAATTGGGGGCCGTTTACAGTAATATTCATGGATGGCATCACCTTGTCTCTCCTATCAAAGCGCACACTTCAGTGCCCCCTTTGGTGCCCAACATCGCACTGCCAGTGAACTACTCTTTGAGGTGTCTCAGCACGGGCTTCATCGAAGCCCCTCACACGGGGCATTATGAACTAAATTAAAGGAGTAAGCACTCCGGAGTGCAAACAAACCACTCCAGAAACAACTGGCGTGAACACACATCAATGCTCATCCTCCTCACGCCTGAATTCCTGAACTTCCCTCCGTTGCTTTTCTCTCTTAAACCTCAACGTTACCATTGAACTTCCTCGGATTTGTGATAAGCTGCTTTGATTGATCATAGTTAATTCTAGAAAGCCAATAAGAAAACCTACAGCACACAAAGTGTGTGTGTGTGTGTGTGTGTTTGACTTTGACTGAAGCTCTCAAATGAGGAGCCAATTGATTGAGATGGCCCCAATTAGTCTCTGTGATTAATAGTGTGATTGGACGTCGTCTCTGGCACCTCCTCGTTGCCGTTATTGACAGGCCAATTAGTTGCCGTGGTGACCGCTTGAACACATCTTATTTCGTGTGACTCTGAAATGACCCCATTGAAGCCAATCAAGCCGACCTTTTGTTTGTGGGCGTGTGCTGTCGTCTATGTGTGGGCGTGGCCAAATACTCCTTGAAGGACGCTACGATGAACAGGAATCTGCTTCAACATGTGGAAATGTTTTTATCGTTTAGCCACTAAAACCTGTGTTCATGTTTTTCATCAAGAACAAGAGTATTTGTCCAAAGGAGAAGTTTTAGCGTCCAGCAGTATGCTGACAGAGATAAAGACAAAAGGAATGTCTCTGAAACTGAATGAAAATGTACACCCATCAGTGACGAGAGGCTTGAGATGTGTTGGATAAATTCGGCCTCGGGTATTTTTCCGGAGCTACATTAAGAAAACACATTGCAGCACTTACATGTGTTGAAGTCAATTGTCCCATCTGCTTTTTGTAACTCGCTCCCTCCTGAGGGAGTGGCTTTCTTCAAAATGTTATCCCGCGTTGAAAAAAAACGCTTTCTTCCTTTTTCCCACAAAATACTTAACTAGCTTATAATAGTGAGTAATTACTACATCAACGTCTGATTGTGTATGTCACACACTGAGCAAATAGGTAGAAAACAGTTTACAGGTAAAACATAACATGTTTTTGTGATGCCACACTGTACACTCACTGCATGAGATAACAAGGGTTGAAGTGTGTAAGAAGCGGTGGGGAGAAGAAGCGAGGAGTAGACGAGTGTGTGGTTGACTAGCCATGAAGAAACGACCCTGATCTTGGAGGAGGCCGGAGTTTGCATCACTTCTGGTCAACCTCCTTTATTCTTCTTTTGCTCCACTACTCCCAATATCCTTCCTTTCCACACACAGCCTTTTTTATTCCCCAATACCTCAAGATGTCTTCTCCTTTCTTGCAGACATTATTTCAGACATTTGTCCTGGGTAACAAAAATTCCATACAAGTACATTTTCTTGTACATCCAACATTCAGATATCTTAAGGAAAAGTATCAGCTAAGTTGTCTGAATAATACATTTCATTCAAATGCAGACAAGTAAAAGAAAAAAAGCTGCTTGCAGTCACAACCTTTTACACTGCTGCAGTCATTACCAGAACAAGGACAAACTGATAAGATATTTAGTCTCTAAAGAATAGATAGTCTCTGAATACAAGATATCAGGTTTTAACGCTTTTAGATAATAGACACATAATATATAACTCTCACACAAGCAATACCAGCTAAACCAATTAAAAGCATCATAAACATAACCACAGACGCAAATTCATTTTAGGTGGGTAACGGAGTGGTTTCACATACTTAATCAAGAATGAATAGTCTAATGAGGAAATATGTAATTAAATACAACTGCTTTGTATTAGATTAATATGAGCTATGTTGCTTTGATATCTCTCTTTAGTGTGTCTCTGTTTGTCTGAAAGCCTCTTTCTCCCACTCTGTATAGTTCCTGATTATATAATGTACTCTATTATGCCAGCTCACTTTTTTTACCCTACATCTTTTGTTTTGTTCTCTGTAGTCATCCCTCGGGAGCCCACAGTCACCTGTCGATCCAACACCTACCCGAAAGGCTTCTACTGCAGCTGGCACCAAGTGCATCCGACGTACATCCCCACCACCTTCGAGGTCGATGTGCAGTAAGTGCATCAGCCTTCTTTCTGGATGCAACATTTGGAATTACACTCTGAAGTCACTCCATGACATATATATATATCTATATATATATATATATATATATATATATATATATATATATATATATATATATAGATAGGCATGTTATGTTGCATCAAGCAACATGACTTAAAGTGTTATGATTAAGTATGTATTATCTTTTTAAATTTTGGAAATCATTTTGACATACAAAGAAATATTGAGGTGCCTTTTGCTCTGACCTGAAAAAGAGGGGGTGAGGCGCTGACGGTGCAAAGTCCCCCCGGGGGGGTCACAGTCATAGATAAAATTGCAATTTGGTGAATTCTAGAAATGATTTTCATCCCGGCCTGAGGTGACCATTTTATATATCGTTTCAAACCTTTTCCCCTCAAACAAAATGCTGCTTACTGCAGGATACTCATTTTAACCATTTAACTATATTGTAAAATTAAAATAACAAAATGTCATAGCAATCATTATCCACATCGGTCCAAAAAACGGAGGGAGATAATAAATTGGGTTTGGTATTTAGTTATATTAACAACATGTTAACGACTCCACAAATATTAAGTAAACCATCCTCACATCTGTGTTTATCATTACATTTCTTTCTCCTCAATCTGTTCCTCACTTTTAACTTTCCTCTCCTCTTCAGACATAACCAGCGCTCACTGGAGGTGCAGAAAGATCCGGACCACAAGAATCGCTGTCGTGTACGTTTCCCCGAGGTCTTCTCCAGCTTCCCCTACACAGTGAACGTGACAGCAGTCAATGCTTTGGGAAAAGCCTCTAACACTATTTCCTTTGAGGAGTCCAGTATAGGTAAGATAGATGCCATATTAATCGATTTCATGTTGTGGTTGTGGCTACATGTTTATAATGAAATTGGATACGTGACAAATATTCATGGTGAATTGCTAATTTTTACTTTGCTTTAATGGATCGTTTTAGTTTCCTTACTCATTCAGACTGTTGCTGTTATAGCATAAAAAAATCTTTATTTGAACTTACTTCACGGCCAGATGTGGGATCCTTTTCCCAGAAAGATTAACAAATATTTGGCATTAAAAGTAAGAAGATGCAGAGTATCGAATCATCTCTTTGAGGATGCCAACCCTTGAGTATATTAACGCATGAGTTTGACCACAGATAACTGATTTCATTGACTTCTTGTTCTCTTTGGAGATCGGTTGCGCACACAATTATGCTTTTTGCCAAAAAGGAAATTGGATATTTAGTGGGATTTTGAATGGGAAAACAAATAAATCCACCAGCTGAAAGGAGAGCGAGGAGCTTCTTCTTCTTCTGTTTGCTTTAACCAACAACATAATCCATTAGCAAGAAATCCACTTAGTGTGCAGCCCAGTCATTACCAAAGAGACTAGGTAATGAACAGGCTACCTTTTCTGCAGCAAACAACTGTGGCCTTGGACGGGATTTGACAGTATAATCCAACCACGTTCTGCTATAGAAGCACATTTAGTGTTATTTAACGTAAGAATTCATCCCCCCTTAAATTATATCTTCATTAATGTGCTAAGTAGTTTGAAAAGAAATGCACTTTGTATTGTGAAGGTTTGTTCATTTAGGCGGCAGAAGGCTACAACATAATAGCAGGACTCTTAGAATTCACAAGCAACTCAGGCCGGAAAGCAGTGAAGAGGAGAAATCCATTTTAAAGAAGGAATGAGAAGTACTTTAATAGATAAGGGAAGTGCTGCCAGCAGTCCTCGGCTCTCTTGTATTGCTCAGAGCGCGATACAGGTGTGCGCGGTGCCTAAACTCACACACACACACACACACACACACCAATGGGGCGGTGAGCGACTGGAGTGTGTCGGCCGGGAGGGTGAGGTATAGAAAAAGAGACGGTGTGTGTGTGTGTGTGTGTCAGTGTGCGTGCGTGTGTGTACATAAGTAACCAAATGAGGCATTGACATGCTCTGCCAAGCACCGGACACAGGACTCATGAAAATGCTAATGCTAGCCGGATTAGCGCTTTGGCTGAAGAAATATCCCTCGACTATTGGTGATAGCAAAACACCCCACTGCTCCTTTCTTTCCATCTGCTCTCTCTTTTATGCCCACATGCCCTACATTCAACCCCCCCCCCCCCCCCCCCCCCTTTGCTTTCCTCCATCACCAGCCACATCTTCTCAAAGGTGAAGAAGCCGTCCACACTATTAAAAGTATATTTTTAAGCTAAGCAGTAACCTCGTTTTTTTAAAGTGAGTCCACTACTAAAGTGTATAAACAAGGCCAATGCTTTATATCCAATAACTACTGTTGTTGCAAAAAGAAGTTGGGTTGTATAAAAGCCTATGAGAAAATGACTCTACTTCTCATTTGATGTATTACCTCTGTCTTTCTGGTGAGGGAGTTGTCCATCTTTTCATCCAGCCATGTTGACCCTCTCACAGTGTGTTTTCAGATGTAGTTTGTCTAAACATTTTAATTACATTTCAGCACCTTTTATTGATAAGACTCTTGTCGGCGAAAGCTAAAGCTTGCTTGCTTTGTGTGCAATGCGCCACGGGATTGCTTCCTGTTTGTTTTAGTATAACTGATAACATAATCTAGCTGTTTTGAATGTTAACAATGATGACAGCTGAAAGAAACAAACCTTTAAAACAAGAACAGCAACTTGGCCATTAGAGACACTTTGTCTATGGGATCATTTCAAACGGTTTGCTTTTTCTCACCCCTCTCGCTCTCCTCATCTCCTTTTCCTGCATTGTTAAAAGTCTTTCCCATGCCATTCTAAGTTGTAAGCCACATTCATTATCAGGGACAACGAGGCAGATCGTAAATAAATAAAACAATTTCATGCTTCCTGGTGCACTTCTGAATTCTGCGTGGGAGTAAGATGATTCTCAACCGCCCTTGTTCAGCGGACCAAAGCTGGGATGAAATTAGAAGAGATTTTGTGTGTGTGTGTGTGTGTGTGTGTGTGTGTGTGTGTGTGTGTGTGTGTGTGTGTGTGTGTGTGTGTGCGTGCACGCTGTGGGTACAGTTACAAAGAGAAGCCTCACAGATGTTTCAGGCTCATCAAATGATAACGTAAAGTTTCCTGTGCCAAGATGATGAAACGAGGACTGATCTTGTATTCGTGTAAAGTTAAAGCTTATTTTACTTCCACTTTTTGTCAACTCTGACACTGGCCCACATGAGCACAATTAAGTGCCACATAAATAATTCATTGTAATTACAATGCAAAGAGAGAATGTAGCTGCAGTGGAACCACAACACTATTAAATCGTCTTGTGACTTTCATCATGTTACTTGAAAATGGGCTGCTGATATTCTGGTTTCATTTATGGTTGATTTAAAGCGGCACACGTTGACTTACAATCAATAGACGTGAAGATTTGTTAAATGGTTAATGAGAGCCGTCTAAATACTTTAATGCACTGGTGATATTTATTCTTGCTGTCAACGTTCAAGTAAGACTTCACTGACTGCTGATTTAAGTTATTTTAAGTGTTTGTCTAATTGGAGGAGACTCAGTTTGATGATTAAAAGCCAAATGATGGAAATTCAATTTGTGTATTTCTAATGTAGTTCTCTCTGTATTCTTAGTCATACATGTGTCTTAGTCTTATACTTAGTCAAGATATGAGAACTTATGTCATCGATGATTTATTCAGCAAGAGAGAAAACTTGACACAGAACTCTGTGAGGAGCTTTTTGAAATTCCCATTAATTCTCTTTGCCTGTCGTAGCTTTGAACCGGCCAGCAGCCGTGTGAATGAAGGGTGCACCACTTCTAGTCATTGTTTATGGGAGCAGGTGTTATTTTGTTTCCATGAGTCCATTAAAGGAAAGGAAGTCGAGCTCTGCTGCTGCCCTGCTTTGCATATTATTTAATAAAAAACTCTGCTAAAGAAAGCCACACCATTTAAATGTACAACGTATATACCATGTATAGTAGAATATAGTTTGCTTAAAACAATGAGCCTTGATGTGCGACTGAAAGGAGGGGCTACTGCACCGTACTTCCACAACAAAACTAGTTTTAAATTTATTTTCCCTTCATTTTCCTTTTTCCTGATTTTAACTCCATTTTAACTCCATTTCCTCTATTGTCCTCATGTTTTCAATTACGCTCCTGTTCTGCTTTAAATCAATGCATAGCTCCCCCTTACTTTTTGCAAGCCCATTTATTTGAAAGGAAATCTGGTGTGTGGAAGAGAGCAGCTACAGGGTTTCTAGATATCCAGTTTTTTTATTTTTATAATGCATACAATGACTAGGTAAAATAACTAGATTCTGCAAAATAATGCTTTTATAAACACAACAATGAGATGTTCAGATGTTCTGTTTAACTGCTGTCTCAGCCACCAGGACAGCCGCTAAGCTACACTTTTTCCTTTGAAAAAGAAAGATTATCCCTTGTTCCTCCCACTCCCTTGTTCCATTTTCTGCAGACAGTGAACATAATGGTGCCGCAAGTAGCTGCTTTAAAGATAACACTTTTGTGTTACGGAATACCTGTTCACTTGCGTCACCCGCAGAGAGAACGAATGCGCTGCAGCGACTGTTGCAGCACGAGACTGAAAGGAGGAAAGAGGAACCGTAACGTGGACACAAATAGGAATGAACAGAGTCAAGGGAGTCGAGACAGACGTTTCCAGGCCGGGCATGGACAGCGCACGCCCAGCCGTTTTTCTTTGCCACACTACAACACCTTCTTTTCTAAAAGATATTCATTGTTTGTCGGCGATTGAGAATTTGCGGATTAGAACTGAGACAGAGGGAAGCTGAACGTATGTGAGGCCGATAATCTGTCCCCGTGTTTCAGATATATTTCATCTGTGTGGTCAGTGAAGCCCTGTCTCACTTTTCCAGTTTAGTCCTCTCTGTCATTCCACACTGGTATTAACGGAAGTGCTTCAAATGGAGGACGTGTTCATTACTCATGCAACACAAAGCTCATACTCTGATTCAAGTTGAATACTTTATGAAGACTTAAAAAGCCTTCGGGAATGCCCACCCAAACAGATTTATCTTTGTTTCGTTCCGTCCTTGCACACGTTTCCTTCCCTTACATACTGTTGGACAAATCGGATGTAGAGAAGGAGGATGCGTTTCTGATCCCTCGTCTCCACGGACTTCCTTTCCCTTTCGCTCGTTTTTTTTCTTTCTCCCTCTCGCTCTCCCTCCCTATTTCATCTTTTTACACATTTACTTGAAGAAGGTCACAATGAGATTAATATCTCTTTCTCAGGGGAGAAAGCTGTCGGCCCGTTTTTATCTGTCTTTTATTGTCTCCATTGGTCTTTCATGTTTCATCATTCATCCTATGAAGGTCATTCTGAGAGAGATGTTTGTTTATGCGCCCAACCGCATGTTTGGTGAGTTTTTAACCAAAAGGATTTCATCCTCATTTACTTTATCTTAATGTGTATTATCATTTTGTCTATTGTAATATCATCGTGTGTCTGCCTGAGAAAAGGTTGTAACTGAAGTGGCAGATAAGTGTGTTCCCTGGTGACTGACCTAGTGAGTGACAAAGACCGGGTCATTCAACATCATGAGTCGAAGCCTTGAGTCGAATTCTTTCAATTTCCCCGTCTGCGTGTCTTTCTCAGTTGACAGGTATTCAGAAACACGAAATGTATACGTGAGTTTTTTATCAGAGGCCGGTCCCACAGTCCTCAGTGCTGTCGTTCACTGAGAAATGAACATATGTCTCTCAGCCTCTCTCTGAATATTTATCTTCCATTGGAGGATGTGATGACTTCAAGAATACAATGATAACAATACTTAGCCATAAGACGAAAGACATATAGAGGGAACCCTTCTTTAAAATTACTTCTTCATCTTAAAAGGTTGAAAAGAAAAGAAAAAAATGCATTAGAGACTGAAATGTTTTAGTTCCAACTATGAGTCTAGGTTTAAAAAGTCTGCATCCTCAATAACATCTTTCATTAGACACTTCCTTCACTGGCCTTCTTCTACCTCCTGTTTCTTTTCCTTCATGTTTCTTTTCCCTCATGTTTCTTCCAAATCCACTGGAATTTCTGTCAAACATTGGAAGTCTCAAGCCAAAAGACATTCACATTATTGCAGGAATACCCCTGCTGCATTATGGTGGTATGTTTTGACGTGTAGCTTAAGAGCAGCAAAAAACTCTGATGAGTAAATTGAACTCTGAGCCAAGCAGTAACTGAACGTACTGAACCGAGTGTTTGATAAAAACCTTTGCTTCTCAATTTCCAGAAGTGCACAATACAAATTGACCTCACATTGAGTAAAAAAAAACAAAAAACGCATTCAGTTGTAAACGTATCAGCCGTATCAGATGTGGCTGCATCCACTAGCAGCGCTGCCAGACATGCTGAACCTGTATGGGTGCAGGAGATGGTCAAGGTGCCCCTTTGACTAATTGTTCTCCTCTTCCTCCTCCTCCTCCTCCTCCACAGTTAAACCAGACCCCCCAGAGCGCGTGACAGCGACCCCCATCCGATTCAACGCCCGCAGGCTGGAGGTGTCCTGGCAGAGCCCGGCCACCTGGCCCGACATCGACAACTTCCCCCTGAAGTACTTCCTTCGATATCGGCCTCTCATCAAGGAGCAGTGGCAGCATGTGAGTACCGCTGCTGTGTGTGTGTGTGTGTGTGTGTGTGTGTGTGTGTGTGTGTGTGTGTGTGCGTGTGCGTGCGTGTGATACAAAGACAGAGAAACAGAGAGTTCACACAACGTTACAGTTTGGCACTCGGTTTTGAGGTCACGACACATTAAACTCCAGTAAACGCAACACGTGGACATTAACAGAGTAGCAAAGCTTTCAGTGAAAAACGTCTGACACATGCTACAACTATGCAGAAAGTGAAGGAAGTTATAAACGTTCAAGAGTGTTTGTCCAGATACAGCTCCGTTACCAACAGCTGTAGGTCAACATTGAAAAACACCTGTTAGATTATGATTCATTATAGTATTTGAAGGCCTCTGAGGAACATCTATTACTATTTTTTCTGCGGGAAATATGAGTAAAAGAAAAGGCTGGCCTCCACAATTGGCAGATTGATTTTTACCTCCTTGCAATTATATTTCTCGAGAGGAAATGGCAAATATTCCTGGAGCATGATGACTTTTTTTTTTTTTTAGCAGAACCTTTTTTTTCATCTAAAGACATAAAAGGATATTTTGAGATAAAGAAAAGGAGACTAAAGTTATTTGTTCAGAGAACTGCCCCTGAGCCCAGTTAGCCGTTAGATGTGAAATGATCCGACCTGTGTCTGTTTGAGTTTGATCCCTAGTCACACGGGCGTAATCGCTCAGCTTCTTTGGTGTGTGTGTGTTACTGTATCTGTCTGTTTTTGTAGGTTCAGATCCCTCAGGGCTTCGTATAGTAAAAGCACATGTGTCCACTATAGGATTCCTGGGATCAAAGCTCCCTACGAAGGTCTAACATTGCAGCGTTATTATCGTGCCCGTCAATGATTTGCAATGGTGTTGTTCCAAGAACTTGAGTCACAGACTATCTCATGGAAAATCACGCATACGTATTAAAGATCTACGTGCGTTTTTCTCGCTCTTTCCATTCCGGCACGTATCCTTCAGTAAGTGTTTCCTCACTCGATCAGTCTTTCCTTCCTTTGTTCTCACTCTTTCCTACATTTTTTTATAGCAGTAGCTCCGACATCTTTATGTTAGGGCATTTTCATTTTTTGTTTGCGTTATTTGTTCTGTATAATGAACTAAAGTAACTTGTAAAGTATCAGTATACCAAACCATATTTTGTATTTTGTTAATGCAACACCGATAAGTAAACCCTCAAGATATTCTTGATTCAGCTGTGGAAAACACCAGCCCACTATTGCATGTCCTGTTTTCCTATGCGTCCATGTTATGAGCAGACAACCCTTTATACATAACTGTTGATTGAAGTAGCTTTTCAATGGCGACTGCTATCGGAGCCGATCACGTCTGATCATACTGCAGACTGCATATGCGAATGACTGTTGTGCAAAACATTTGGCTTTAAGGCTGCGACATCAATCATGAGCTGGAGTTAAATGAGGTTGCCAAAATAAGACGCAATGTTTATTGGCCCCATATCACCCTCATTCATTATAGCCTCAGAGGTTGAATACTAATTGAAGTGGTTAGTATTACTGAGGAATCTAATGTGGTTGGAAAGCAGAGCTGGGTGAGAATGGCTTTCAGGTGTTGCATTCTGAAATGTGTTCAGAGCTATAAATGAAAGCGGTGGTGTGATCAGATTCACCTTTGGAGGAAACCATCCATCCTGCTGAGAAATGAAGGCACGACGGGCCCAGATACTTAGAGTGATGGAGATTCAGACAGGAGGAGGAAAATGGGGTGGTGGATTTTTGAAAGAGGGAGGAGAGCGTTAACCTGAGAGACCGTGATGAGAAAGACGCGGCGTATTTAAGTGAGATGGACATTAATGGATAGCATTTGGAATTAAGTTACGATGTGAGAATCCCCAAATGAGCGACAAAAGACGGGACCGAGAAAAATGAACCGAGGTGCTGTGAATAGAAGCTTTACACTAATGTAATTTTAAAAGTAGCGAGAAGATTGGATGTTGGATACGGGAGGTAAGTCGAGAAAGGAAGAGAAATGCTCACATGAAGAGGTAGCCTCAAATAGACTAGAGACTAGAAGAAACGACATTGTAAGTAGAGTTTTATGAGTGTTTCAAGTTAAATGAAGATATATAAATGCTGAGAAAATGAAAAAAGACTCTTATAATACCGTGTTATGCCAAATTACAAAAATGTAGCAAACCTAATAAAAAGTGAAATGTGCGAAAGAAGCTCCATTGGAAAATACATCAGTATGCATGTAAATGTTCAGCCGGGGAACTGTTCTGTTTCCCATGGCCTTGCCTCATTTCCACGCCGCCCTGAAAGTCCCTTCACTGAGACGTGAACTCAAACTCTCAGTGCAATTAAGGCAACGGTCCAGCGACTGTGATAAGAACAGTTTGAGATTGCTCAATATTCTCTCCGCTGTATGAAGCTGCATCTGCCGGGCTGTAATTGCCCTTTGGGGATGCTGCTGAACTCAACAGAAAGCCCACAATGTTTCAATGCACGGAACACCCATACAGACGGAGAGGAACGCGTGCGCCGGTACGCATATAAATGAATACACATGATCACAAGGTCTCGTTCTGACTCATTCAAAAATGAATATACATGCAAATGCCATCAAAGAGCTGCATATGTCAGCGTGTGGAAACGGAAGAAAAAAACGCCGCGCACATTCACAGATTATCCATGTCATGTTAACAGACATTGAACACATATCCAGTATCTCACCGAGAAGATAACAGAATAAATCTCCATCGTATCAAGTCATTAGCAAGTTCTTAAAGAGGGAAACATTGTGCCGGTGGAGGGAGATCATTTTAATGTTTCCAAAGCCTATGATCTTTCTATCATGCATTTAGAAAATATATCCATAATAATCTTGTCATGCAGCTGTCAACCTCATTCTCCCTTGTTTCAAGATACTTCCACGAATAGCAAAAGTTGATTATTCTTTTTTCATTCTAGTGAAATGGTTTTAAGATAACGCGACTTTAAAGGCAAAAAAAAAGCCTTTGTTATGTTGGCGATTCTATTTCTGTGCCGTCCGTGTGCAGTGTGTATCTGCATTGTCCACCCGTTAGCTGTCACGTTGTTTATGCAGACGCAAATAATCAGAGAAAAAGAGGGACATAATGATTGGAGCGGCCGGCACAGAGAAAGGGAAGGCGAGTACGTGTCGTATGTATCGGCAGCACAGCTTGACCCTTTGTTCATTTACTCATCGCACATCTTTCCTCCTTTGTCCTTCTGTCTGACATGGTGCCGTCCCACTAACCCGTCCATAAGAAAGACACTTGTCTTTGTCGCCTTTTCTCCCCACATCATTATCTTTCCCTCTTTTTTTCCCTTCATCTTTGCCTCTCCCCCCCTTTGTTACTAGCAAGGATCTGTATGTGTGTGATTATAAGTGGATTCATATAATGTATATAAGCCTGTGTTCGTTCTTTCCCTTCTTTGTCTCCTTTTTGGCCCCTTTTCTTATCTGATGTACATGTTTTATTGATGTGCGTGGCGGATAAGTTGTTCCTTTTGCCCTGCAGGTTTTTTTGTCTATAATGTCATTATCATGGAAAAGGAAAGAGTGACACTGAAAAGCCAAACAGCGGCTGCGATTCCCTCCTGTTCCCCTTTTCCACTTTCTCCCACTTACTAACGTTTCCACTGTCTCAGCAATCTGCCGTCACACCGTCTCACACTCACCCAGCTATCCTACCATCAATCCCTCAAGCCATCTATTTGTATCTATGGGTGCTCATGATAAATGTCTAGACCTTGTTTTGGGGAAAAGGACACTGCCACGGACAGATCATTTATCAAATATTTGTAACACACACACACACACACACACACACACACCAGTTTCATTCCTGTCACATGGGGAAGTTATCATCATTTAGCTCGGCTGTCAAAATAGGTTAAAGTTGAATTATATTATTTATATTAGGTACAGACAGACACTGCAGATTATTTATGGCTTTAACATAATCTAATAAAAGATGTACTGTACATCATTCTATATAAATCAGATGTTCTATAAGCGAGAAGAAAAGAAAACGCAGCGGCCTAGAATGAAAAATGTGCTTTGGCCTTTTTCAAAAAACAGTGTTTTGGTGGAAAATGCTACACATACATAAGACTTGTTTTAAAGTAATTGCAGAAACTTCTTTTTTTGCCCAAAGGCCACAACATCTGACGAGCGGTGGCAGCTGCCGTCGAGCAGCGCGGCCGGCCTTAGAAGGCTGTGCTTCAGCTGGCGCACAGCGCCGCCACACTCATCACGTTGTGTCAGGTTAAGCTCTTATCATGCATCGTTCAACTCGGAGGCCCATCTGATGATTCAATTAGATGCTTTCCGACAAATCATTCAAATAAGGGGGCCGCCTTAAAGAGTGCTGAGCAGAAATAAACATTGAGAGCTCGCTCGGGGGGCAGACCGCATGTTATGCAACGCTCACTGTTTTCGTTGGATGCTTTTCTCCGGCTTTGACGACGTACCGCATGAGGTCTAATCTCCATTAACGCGATTTGTCATTTGTCTCATGGGTTTGATTTTCTGACAAAATGTCACTGCATTCAATCAGCCACTTTTCAGCCCTTGAAGTCAACGTCACATGGTGTTCATGATTTGAACCACTTCCTGTCTGAGTCTAATCTGTCCATCAAATGTAAGATAAATATTTTATCATTTCAACCAGTCAATTTCAACTTGTTTTTTTACTTCATTGTCAAAGCCAACACATTTACACAATTAAACAGTGGTTATACACCTTAACAGTTTTCTCTTCCAACGGCGTGTAGGTCAACGCTGCCTCCAGTGTGCAAATTAGTTGTGTACGAACTACAAGTTGGTTAATGGGAGACTTTGTAAAGTGCTTTGCCACGTTCTCAGCATAACAAACCTATATAAATGTGGTGGTGGTAAAAACTGGGCCAGTTGCCAAGAAAATTTGCAATTTTTTAAATTCAAGTTCATTCAAATTTGTTTATATATATGAGAAAACTACTATCAGAAAAAGAAAACCAAAGGAAGTTGTTTCAAAAAGGGAAGGCGGCATGACAGGGATGAATTCTGATTCAAATTGGAAGTACATTTTTGGATTCCCGACATAAATCCCAGTTAATGCCGAGACATCTCCGACACCGGTTTGTTGATGAAACTGCCACATGCTTTTTAAGGGCGCAAAGTCTAGTTCAGGATTTCCGATTGGCCGGGAGGGCCTAGCTGCCTTTTACAGTAATTGCTGCTATGGCGATTGGGGCTTCAAAGAGAAAAATACCGTATGAGAAATTACCCCTGGTATTGGTGTTTCTCTGCATGTGTTCGTTCGTGTGTGTGTGTGTTCTCAAATGGGAGGAGTGTGCGGTGGAAAAATGGGAGCTGTCAGTCAACCTAATGAGACCAACCTTCTCTGCGCACACACACACACACACACACACACAGCGCCATCGGGCCAGTGGAAGTGCCATATAATTGGGTTTCCTTTCCAGGACAACAGACATGCTCACTGGATTAGATCTGACCACCGACGCCAATTTTCCCCATGTCTCCCTCTCGCTGCTTATCCTCCTCTCTCGCTTTCCCCGACTGTCTCTCTCTCTTTTTTGCATCTCTATCCTCAGTCTCCTCATTCATCCGTAGACTTCTGTCCGTCGACGCGTCTCTTTCTCTACATATTTTACCTGTTGTCAGCCGACTGTTCTTCTTTTGTCATTTGAATTTCCGTCTCTGATCTACTGTAAATGTATGGTGCTTAATCCCATAGTTTGTGCGTTTATATTCGGTTCATACGACAGCAAGTGTAATTCCCCGGATGCAGGTTCTATTTGGATAATTGTGTTATGAATTAAGTTATTGGACTTATTGGACCCCTATGGGCGCTGTTGTTAGTGGTAATCATTGGGATCAGCGGGAGTTCCTTCCTTACTTCTTAATTCCAAAACATCAGGGTAAGATGAAACATTATTGATCCAAGTGGAAAAGTTGTTTGAGTTTTTATTGCAAAGGTAAACACAAGCGCAATTCAAGATGATTAAAGTCGGCACAAGAAATAAGCTTATTCTGAAGGAGCAATTAGGGTGCATGGCAAAAAAAGAGGGAAGAGAATAAGAAGGAAAGGAGAGGAAAGAAGTGGGAAGAAGAAGTGGCAAATAAAGGATGTGTGAAAAAGTAAAGAGTGATTTCTTTTTTCTCACAGGTCCTTATGCAATCCCTAAGGAATGTTCACATCTCCTCTCTCTGCCCCTCTCATTGTCTGCATCTTTGTAAAGGCTCTTGAAGAGTGCGCGTGGGTGTGCAGGAGTGTGTTTGTGTACGTGGCCGTGCTCAGTGGCCCTCAACTGTTTTCGTGTGTGTTTTCTGGATCTCTACGCTACTCTAAAATAATAAATAAAAACTTCTCAGATATTTGTTTTTTTAGAATGACCGCGTCGATGCCGTTGCTTTAGCTAAGAGCAGCTAGCCGGTGGAATCTAAGGCCAAGTAAAATGTTTGTTCAGCACTCGTCTTAAACTCTGGCTTCTGTGTTTTATGTGATGTTTGTTTTCTTCCACTGAAAAGCAGCTGTTGAACTTGGTTTAGGGAGCCAGCAACAATTAATTGGCATTTCCATAAATGTTCAAAGGTTTAGAATTTCCAGGTGTGCTGCCTCTCGTGTGGATTCCTGCAATAATACCGGGCCCGTCATCGCTTTTTATTTTTTCTCCAGTTCATCGTCAAACATTCATGCTCACATATGCTGTTTACAATGAGCAGACATATGGTGTTTATGCAGGATAAAAGACAATTTCACGGAAATGTAGGGTCTTTATTATTATTCTTAATGCATTATACCTCTGGATTACTGATCACAGAATATTTAGACTGAGTCGGTGGAGCGTATCTGTGTGTCCGGAGCTCTACACACCTTTGTGTAAAATACATTAGCTCTAAAGACACATGAGTGAGGCCGAAATAATACACACAGACACACATGTGCAACAAGTAAATATACATCACTTCAGCACCACTGCCCAAACACACTGGTCTTGCAGTGTGAATGATCTGACAGCGTTTTTGGGCAGCAGTAATAACAGCCTCTCCTAAAAGCATCTCTTCCTTCCATCTACCCCCCCCCCCCCGTTAGTGCACGATATTAAGAGCTGCTCACACTTCTCCCTATTTAGCTACTTGGCAATGCAGCAACTCCTCCATCTTCAACTCAGTTCATGTGCAATCTGTTTTCTGCGTATACATTTACTCCCTCACAGCACCCCTTCACATATAAACTCATGGTTCACATACAAGTGCGCAGCCTTGCAAACGTAAACAACAATGCATAAGACATATTCTGACTCCAAATGTAAGACGGAAAGTTTTCTTTTTTTGCATTCATATCAAATGCAAGCGCACACACAGAAACACGCAAAAACACTCGCACAGAAATACATGAGCACGCAGAATCAAACAGACGTTCGTGTCTGGCTGAACTTTCACAAGCTTTCACACGGTAGACATTAGTATGCAAACACACACACACACGTCCGAGTCAGAAAGGAATGCTGATAGAAGCTATGGTTCGATACGCTGGTTGGACTGCACATAAACAGTGGAAGTTTTAACCTCAAAGGCTGCACACACATCTGCTAATGCATACATGCACTCTATACACAAGGTTTATCCACACACACACACACACACACACATAGCTCTCATCACACATGCTTGGACTATTGCGTTCCACTAATGAAATCAGAGCCTATAAATGTAGCGCTCAGTAGAAAGCCTGAAGTTCCTTCCAAACGGAGAGAGAGGGGGCGAGAAACAAGGAGTTGGAGCGTATAGAAAGAGGCTGTGAAGGCAAAGTTGAAAACAGGAGGGTCAGCTTCACAGAGAGGGTGAGCAATGAGCGATCACAGGAAGACAGAGGGGGGCGTTTATTCCTCAGATCTGCTCTAGATTTGCACATCTTAAGAGAACTAAAAGGGAAACTCCGATCGGAGGCTTGTTTGCTTGTTTGCTGGCGGTTGGCATTATGTGTGTGATGTGTGATTTTAATCCCAAATCAGTGCTCGTGTGAGCAGCTCCTGAGGTATTGAGAGTGTTTAAAAGACAGTTGTTGTTTTTTTAGTGTAGCTTTTGTCTTTATCTTTAGTTTTAACCATCATTTAACAAGCAATCTGAGATAAACTGTGTCAAAAATTGTCCATCAGATCAATCCGATTTTTAGGGGTTTGAGTGTACATTATTACAAAGCCGGGATTGTTTAGAAATTTAATTCACCATTACTGGCACTCAAACGAGAACAAACATTGCCATAAATAACAGTTCAGAAGGTAGTTAGAGCTTGAATGTGCACCAACAATTCAACATCATCGACCACAATCCATCAGCCGTTTTTCACAGACTCTCTTCTAAAATGCTTTGATAGTATTGTTGAAACGAAGTAATTGTGTTGCTTTGTATGTAAGTGGAGTCTGTATTTACAATATACGGCTTAATGTCACGCCGACACAATTCGAAACACACTTGTTAGTGCAACAAAGAATATCCAGATACGTCCACGCTCAAGTTTCTCTTGTGTGTGTGTGTGTGTGTGTGTATGTGTGTGTGTGTGTGTGTGTGTGTGTGTGTGTGTGTGTGTGTGTGTGTGTGTGTGTGTGTGTGTGTGTGTGTGTGTGTGTGTGTGGGGGTGGGTGGGTGCCACTAAATCATTTCAACTTGCCACAATCTTCTTCACCCCTTAACTTATTGAGATACAGGCCAAAGCCAAACACAACAACTCGTGTGCGCACACACACACACACACACAGACAAATACTCACAAAACTAAGCGTGAAGTAAAAAGGCAGCAAATCATCCTCTCATTCACTCCCCTGAGTAGAAACATTTTTTTTGGAGCTCTCCAAATTAAAGTGTGCACAAAAGCCTTTCAAATGCTGGCTGGCATTACATTGTGTTATACAATTATGTTGCATTGGTGCCAAAGCTTTCTGGGATAATCATCAATTATGCCACTGGTATTTTGCAAGTGTGTCTGACTGTCTGTATGTCTGCGGAGGCTGTGGGGGGGTTCAACGTTCAATCAATTCAACAGTGAAATGCAAAACACAGAAAGGATAAAGAAACAAAAATGACCTACGCACAGATAACGATGAAAGGTCCGTTATGAAAAAATACCACCGAATCAAAGTTGCATACTGTTTCCCCAGCTGAGTCTACGCGTCACTAAACATTAAAGCACATCATGTATGAGTCGAGCTGTGGGTCGACTCGTATGACTTTCTGAGTTAATAGTTCCTGCCTTTAGCGGCTGACAATTTTCATGATTTATTGTCAAGTACTATATGAATAGATTTCCAGATGTAATAGACGTTACTTTAACTCGATGGACGCACCCCGAGTGGGCTGCTCCCTCATTCAAACTGACCACCTGCTGTCCTCTTTAGGTGGAACTATCCGACAGCACTTCGCACATCATCACCGACGCCTATGCTGGGAAGGAGTACATCATCCAGGTAAAATAATCTCCTGTTTCACAATAATCCACTATTGGAAACAATTGGATTGATCAGAAATGAATGATAAATGTACCTATACATTAATATTTATGTATATAAAACATACATTATGAACTAACATACATCTATGCAAAAAAAAATATATATATATATATATATATATATATATCATATATATATCTACATATATCTATATATATTTACTGGCCGACTGAATTATATTTAACTGTTTTAAAGGTCATTGAAGGATGCCTCTAATTTGCTGAATACTGCCCTTGTGCTCAACAGGTGGCTGCCAAGGACACCGAGATCGGAACATGGAGTGACTGGAGCGTTGCTGTGCATGCTACACCCTGGATCGAAGAGCAGATTACTTCCACAACCGAAGTCGACATTCCCACCGGTAGGTTAGAGCCTCAGTTGAAGTCAAAGGATACGTGGTCTTGAAACTACGGCTGCTTCTCCTAAATCTAGTGTCCAATCCATCTGGTGCTTGACTGGAAAAGTGAAATGTTTGTGGCCTGGATGAAAAGTAATCACTACAGTCAACAGGGGTCCTCCATGTGATATTTTAGTCGGGCCATAAGTGGTAGATCACTGCTAATGTGGCTAAAAGCTTTTTGTTCAAATGGCAGAATAAAGATAACAAAAAGGCTAAATGCAAATACGTGTTCAACAGATTACTTAAAAGATAAAGAAAGAGGGACTAAGGGATGTTGTTTTACTGCATGTACAAACATTACAATAGTATTTCTATAATGCTGTTTGCTATTTGTCCGTTGGACATCAGGTGAAGAGATCATCCCGATGGTAACATAGCATGATGAGATATTGTTCTTTGTGCCCGCGGCTGTCACGCAGTACATTTTCTGAGCCGGTTAGGTATGAAATGAAGTTTAATAACTTTCTTTATCAGTAAATTGGGGAAACGACAACCATTTGAAAGCCTTGAACTTTTATCGCAGCTCAAGCTGTGAGATCCAGCAGCCTGCAGACAAATCGACACACACATCAACCTGCGCGCCCGAACAAAGCCCCGGGGGGGAACGCTGAGCCGTCTCTCAATGCTCACGTCTACCTCAGATCGCCAGCCTCAGATCACCTCCTCGGTCGTATGCATGAGAAATGATCGTTTAACACTAAACTCACTACAGATCATTATATTCTGTGTGTCCCTTGATGCGCACATCTACACCATCACCAGTTACCTGTCAGGCTGCTGGTGTGCTTCGGCACCTTGAACCAAACCCTACTGTGGCGTCTCAGGCGACTGACTACAGTGCAAACTGACACCTTCAACCGGTGCTCGTCGGCAAAAATAATCATTTAAAAAAAAATGTGTCAATGAATTTGTTACAGTTCAAACTACAAGGCAAAAAGCACATACATCTGTCAGATGCACTTCTGGAGGCATTAAGTCTGACATTATAACCCTCATAACAAGTCCAAAGAAATCAGTTTGACCACAGAGGAGAGCATTTTTATTTATAGGCTGCTGCCCGAGACTAATCACGGAATTCACCTGTAATAACTTTTAACCAACGATACAATCCCCATTCGAAATCCTCCTAAGGAAAACATTCAGTCCGTCTGCCCGTCTTTCTCTCATCACGCTGCTCGTCCGCGTTTCTCAGCAGTTTTACAGTCCAACAGTGACTCCTGACGGGGGCGAGCAGCGCTGCATCGCAGTCAACACTGAATGTGCTTACGCATGCTTCAAATGCACAAACCGGACGAATAACACACGTAGCAGATGGACACACACTTATAAATACACAGTACCTCCCTCTGATAACATGCAGTAACACACACGTGAACTTTGACTCAGTGCCCAGTGTATCATTGTTGTTCTTGAGTAAAGAACAGGAGGTTATTGGGATTCTCCTCATGCATCCTCTCCATCCAGCTGCAGCTTCCCTGCTTCCCTTCGCTCTCTGCTCGGCCTCGTCTCTCTTTCCCTCTCCTTCTGTTTTTATTCCAGGTCTCCCTTTTAGTATTTTACTTTCTCGGTTCTCTATCGATCACAACTCTCTGCTACTCGTATCTTTTTTCACCTCGCCCTTCGTCCCCATCTCTGCATCTGGCCTTTTGCCACTTTCTTTACAGATGTTGCTTGCTGGATGATTGATTACATCTGCAGCTGCTTTGTTAATACCAATGAATTCACTACAGGGTTTGGTTGTCATTCCCATTTACCTTCTATGCCATTTCTCCATGTTGTTGTTAGTTTTAGTTTAAAATCGACTCCGTTTTGAAGAAATAAACGGGAGCTCACTTTCCACATTTCTTTGTGCTAATATTTATTTTTCAGCATGAATAAGAGGGCTCATAAACCTCATAAATCATAACATTCAAGTCCAGACAGGGGCCCTATCATAAAAAATGTTTAAATCAAACACGTAATTATTCTGCTTGCACTCTCTAATTGGAAAGATCACACATCATTTGCATGGCGTCCGTTGGGAAACGAGGAAAACCTCATATTTCCTGTCCACAACTGGACCGCTGAAAACTCCAGCCGACCAGCTTGTTGCCATCTACACACTGAACAATAAGTCTTGTCCGATAGGAAATGAAATGACTTCCTGTGACTTATCGATTGTGCAGCCTAAAACACAGGGCTTTCTCCCATTTTCTTTCTGTCTTTCTCTCCTCCAGCTTTTGCTCCATTTTTCAGTTTCTGTCTTTTCTGTTTGTGCATCGGACGGAACGGGTTGTCCGTACCTCACGGAGAGTTGCCCTTACGTGCCTGTCCTGTTTGCTGGCATCAGCAGCCCCATTTCACTCCAAAAGGTTGGCGCAGTGACAAGACACATGGCATTTATAAGTCCCACCGTCAGTGACTGGACCGTTGCTCAGAGACCTCGTTCCACCAACTAAGAGGCAGACACAGAACAGCCGTTCTCGGTGCCGCAGTCATCGAAGATATACTACGCGTCTGCCTCGCCCGCCCTTTGAGACAGACACTGGACGCTGTCTGGCACCAGGCGGGTAACCTTAGATATCGCGTCAAATATCCCTCACGTCGGGATCTATTTAGAAATGCTTAACGAGCAGAAACCACAGCTAAATGCAGAGGTTCTCTAAGGTCCTCCTCTGCTGCGTGCTGCCTCCACTTCATAGGAGAATTACTACTTATTGCTTTATGTGAGGTATTCAGGAAGGAGGTGTCATTTAATGCATTCAGTTTCTCCATAAACAGTTCTGGTCAATTGACGCAGTTAGAGATCTTCCAATAGATCCAGCAGTATAAATGTTCAGTGTCTGAGTTAGAAAATATCAGTTCTTTTTTTTACAAATGTACACGCTTTAACTACAACTCACAAGGTGCATTTGTACACAAAACATCCAATCACTGATACCTAGAATTCAGGTGTGCAGGTGAACAGGTGTGTGCACGGCCAAAGGCAAGCAGAAGCTGAGGTGTTGGCTTGATAGATACGGGCGAAATCAACCCCCCTTTGGACCGTCGCTCAGTTTTGGATGACTTTGTCCTCGCTGGCTTTGTTTCCTTGTTTAGTTCTGTACATTTCTTATTGAAAAAAACAACATTTTACAGCTCTGACCGGCGCCTCATACGGCTCCTCCGTACAGTAGCAGCAGTAATTGAGGCTCATGGGCATAGAGCCATAAATAAGATAAACCTACAGTATCATTTATCCAGGAGACTCCTGCCCCGTGTTTACATGGTAGATATATACTTCTTCTGTTGACTACCTCACAGGCTCCTCTGTTGAGTCGCCATTGACAAAAGTACAGTGCAGATGTTATTTTGAAGCGTCTTTGTATTTGAATATCCTAAAGCCTCAGACTTCCCCGTAAGGAACCTGAACCCATCCTTATTGTTTGCCCTTTTACTTCTCAGATCTTCCTCTGACTTCTTGTCCCTGGCTGCTCTGCTCCCTCTCCTCCCCGGTTTCTATTCCCCGGGTCGCTCATCTGTATCTCCATCACATCGTTGTCTTGTCTCGCTGTCTCCAACTACCTCGTTACATCAACGTACTCCCCATAATTGCGTCTCCTCGTCGCCACCACATTGTGTCTGCATAATTTTTACTTCCTCCAAAGCAAAATGTTGTGCTGCCGGCAGGGAAGTATTGCACAGAGCTGCTGAACATGGTTAATGTGTCCTAGTTCTCTCTCTCTCTCTCTCTCTCTCTCTCTCTCTCTCTCTCTCTCTCTCTCTCTCTCTCTGGCTATTTCACACCTGGCTGCCTCTTCCTGACTCCCAACACTCATTAATTAGAAGGAGAGGGAAATCGTATTCTCTCCCCAATAAGAAAAATGCTGTGGGTCGAGGACTGAGTTATAAAATATATGAGTTAATATCTTCTGTGCTGCCTGCATACGTTTTATAAAACATTAAACTTGGATATTTTTATTTGTCAAGTTATGTAAAACCAAAAGCAGTAAAACAGCTTAAGCACAGAGGGATTTTCAGCATATTTTGTTCGTCACAAGATATTAACAAGCCGGCCTATACACATTAACATAACTGTTTAGCTGGCAGAGAGTTGATTTTATTTAGAATTATTATGATTATTTTGTCATTGATTTACTGTTGTACATTCTTATCAGGACTTATGCAGGTTATTGCTTTAGAGTCTCAATTCATGTGAGGAAGTCTCAGTGCACGCACATGACTCCAATGGGACTTAAGATGGTCTATAGCTCTGCTTACGTTCCATAAAATCTAAATATGCAGCTTATTATGCGTGTGTAAAAGGGTAGATTTTCAAAGTGTGTATAAGACAGTCCCTTATCAGCAGTATATTAACTGCAGCGATGCTTCTATGCTTCATGCGCCTCCTCCTCGGTTACCTGAGGGATTTAAGCCGCTTCTCCTTTTTTCTGTCTCCGTATTTTGCTTCTTGGCCTTTGTCCCCTCCCCCCGTCTGTGTGACTGAGATAAAAAAAAATGTCCAGTTCCCTTCATAATTACATTTGACAAGTCTCATATTGACTGCGCTTGCAGATTAGAATCGATTCCTCTCTGCGCTGTTATCCTTTCTGTTTGTTGCTTCCCGGTACGATGAGTGCTTTTCAGTGTCCATTCATCAATACGACGTTTCGAGTATTTTGGCCCTCAGGAATAAATGATTGTGTCACACTGTATGACCACAGGGGGAAAAAACCAACCTGAAAACTAATGAGTAGTAAGTAGTAGTAGTAAGTAGTAATAAGTAGTTGGGATTAAGAGGAGTTTCCATTAGATCTGCTCAGTAAGCCTTATTGTGTTTTTCTGATTGTTTTTGCAGAGACTAAGACCTCCCCCATCCCGTCCTCCAACGCACCACAGAAGGCCGAACGTCCCGTGGGCAGAGCTGCCAGACTCCTCACCTTTTTCTCCCCTTTGCTGTTAGGAATGCTGCTGCTTTGCATGTGGTGAGCAAACGCACACACGCGCCGTAATGAGTCTACAAACCCCCCATCCTTGAATTTGCCAGTCACATATTGGAAAGTCGATGCAGTTCTGTCGATGTCAGGAGCTCGTTTACTAGAAGGAGAGCAACGACGATTGGGTGAATTTGTTTTATGACCCAGCGGGACGTTTCTCTTCATATTTTCCTGGAGAGACCCTGAAGGGATTGAGGTCAATTTCAACGCGCCACTGTCCCATTTCATTAACGTGTTTTACTCTATAAATCAGGCCGTAACGGTACGTCTCCTGCCGATGATGTAGGCGATGAATGTAAATTTCACAGAAACCAAATGACACCAAACCTTGCTGCATGTCCAGCTGAACACTGTCCGCTAACAACTGGAAGATGAATAGAGGCAGGTTTAGCTGGACGAACACATATGTGGCCCTTCAATGAGGCGCAGCGCTACAGCACTCTCATGTGCCGTTTGCACGCAGTAATATCTCACAGTGACGTACCACAGGTCAATTCTAGTGTGCAATATGAGAAATATTCCTTTTTTTGTCCACTATATTTATCTTGCATCTACTTTGAGATGAAGGTTTTGTATAAGAGACAGCGGTTCGTTCTGAAACACAAAGGCTGCTCCTGAAGAGGTGAAGAGGCTTCAATAGCATCAGTTGTATCAGAACTGGAGAGTATTTCTTCACTGATAGAAGAACAACCGTGGAGGCTTTTCTCAAATGAAAATGTGTCTTTGCCCCCCCACTGTCCCCCTGTCTCGCTTCGGTAAGCGTTTGATTGAAGTGCGGTTCATCCGACCACCTGTCAAGTATCTTTTGACAGTTCCTGCCCTTTTCCAAACAGTTCCCAATGACAGCTGCTCAGATGGGTCCGTGTATTAGGCCAGCTGGTGCTTCAGTTTACCGTGAGACGGTCCTTGGTTGGGAATAGGTGACTTATAGAATGATGAATTCACCACCAGACATCTACTGGCAGTATGATTAAAAAGTAGCATATGTGGGAGACGTCTAAAAGGGGATCAACCAAAATTCCATCGTTTGTTGAGGTGCAGCTTGTGATGCCTGTGTTGTGCTTGTGTCCGTTTCTTTCTAGATCTAAATATCTAGGAGTTGGAGGAGGAGGAGGAGGAGGAGGAGGCTGGTCTTTTTTTCTATTTTGCACTTGTTTCCAGGATACAGTGCATTGATCATTTCTGTCCATCACTCAGTTACTCACGAGATTACTTAGACATGAAACTAGACAATGATAATGCCATTCAGCATTTTTGATAAATGGAGACAAAGAAATTACCCAGAGGAGCTTTTGAAAGGCGCTCCATACACCACAACAACAACAACAACAACAAAAGCAGCAGTGATATCAGCATAAACGGTCCTATAATACCCCCTTGTGGCTTTGGTCGGCCCCGGCAGACTATGTGTTAGCGGGCAGCAGTGCGGTTTGGGAATCTCCTCTTCACAGCAGGAAAACCGACTCTTCAGATGACAAAATCCGCCCCCAAAACTTTTTCGTCCTTTTCTTTATTGATTATGAATTACTGTTCACTTCCTTCTGAAATTGCAGCACCGTACAGGCAAACACTCACACATGAGTCGAGCATATTTGCGCGTGTTTGTGTGTATAGTAACCGTAGCGGTGCCCATACAGCTATATCATCATGCCAAAGACTCAAATCCCCAAATAAAAAGGTTCCCCAAGCACCTGTCAGACTGCGCCGTGGGTCAAAGCACCCAGAAAGCCGTGTTGTTTGTGCGCGGCGCTCTAGATGCCAACTCAAACACACAAAGGAAAACTTGGGACTGGGTCTGAGGAAGCGTGCAGCTCCCGTTTTGCGTTCACCTGCGATCCATCAAAGAAGCCAGACAAGCACTCGATCCGTCTCCGAATCTGCCGACTCCAACGACTCGGGTCAGAGCGGCGGTGGTTTCGTCCCACGTGAGGACGAACAGCGAAGACTTCAGTAACAGTAGCCGGGCTATTTATACGTTTAGCTTTACACTCTGCTTTCCGCGACTGGCAAAGAGGACCTGGATTGTAAAATAAATAAATAAAGTGGATTTTGAGACTGGACAGTTCTGTGCCCACCCATTTGTTTTGGTTTATTGGCGAAAAAGCTGGTTATTGAAACAAATAAAAGATCTATGTTGGTTTTGAATTCTGCTCTGTGCTGTAAAATGAAACGACACAAAACAGTTTGCTTCCCAAATTCTGACGCCTTTACAAACAATTAATAAAATGTATTTTTTGCAGTTTCCATTTCAATAGCTTCTATCACCAGTTAATATTATGTTATTCAAATGAATATTGATGTGTTTTATTGTATTTTTTTATCTTATGGACAAATAATACAAACACACATATAGGATTTTAGTTTTTTCTTTCAGACATTAATAATGGCTTAATTCTCCTTGCTCATATTTTGTAAACTATGATATGTAACTTTAACATTGAACAAAAGTTTATTATTTAATGATAATAATAATGTATGTATTAGCAGTAGAATGTCGTAACCTGTACCTGGGGTCTTTTTTATAGATGTATATACAATGACAGGTTTCAACCATTAAATGTGACCATTTCACAATGAACGATGGCCTCACATTCATTTTGTACTTTGAAGCTTAATTTACAGGTTCAGATGAGCTATATTGTGATTTCATTGACTGCTGTTTGCAGATGACGCGCCTCTCTCTTTGCTCACGTTGTTTTTTTACTCTGAAAACTGTATCAGGTGGTTTCTTATCACGGGAGAGTGTGGTCAGTGAGGGTCAGTGTGTTTGCGTGCTAGTATTTACTTATTAACAATAAACACAGTACAGCTGAGGCTGCTGGTAATTAGTTTTGCTTGGAGACACAGATTGAGCAATGGGGAAATCCCAATTTTAACCTGATTATACCCGATCACAAGTCGTCCTCAAAAGTAAAAACTCGAAAGATTTGAATCACGTAGTTGAATGTGAAAAGGTTATAGTCATTCTGCTCCGACTAACAAGAAAAACAACACATTCTGCTCCACCAATTTCCGCTTCTCAGGTCTCTGCAGAGAGAATTAATTAAAGAGAGTTGTGTCAACTGAAAACTATTTTAAAGCAAAGTGCGGTTAGTTATACACATTTACAAGTACGAGAACAGTATGTTCATTCAGTCTTCATGTTTTTGTCCCAACAGTTGTCCCGAACATGTCCCCGACCTTGAATTGGCTCTATAATGTATTTTTAGTAAAATGTAATTAAAGGGCTACTTTAAAGTCTAGTGAGGTTTCATTTGGAACTTGGATGATTGTCTTACTGCTTCTGTTTCCTATCCGATCTCACATCACAGTGCACTCAAAGCTGATGCCAGTGAGTTTAATACTACATTTACAGCGATAAATTCAATAAGAAAATAAGACCGGGGGAAGAGTGGGATGGTCAAAACTCTCCTCTTGACCTTAAGCTCTCACTCTCTGTGCTTCCCTCTTCTTTAATCTGTCTCACTGTCTCTCTTGCCTCGCTCAAGCCCTCCTTCTTTCAATATTCTGACAAGTTCTGGCAGGCCGAGGACAAATCAATACACCATCTAGCGGCTGTCCGCTGAGTCCTCCTTGTGTGCAGACAAGAGTCTGCACGCACACACTGTGGGCATTGTGTTCATTAGTCTTTCCTTCCTCGCTCAAACCGGCCCGTCCGCTTTTTGTCTCTATGAGAACGCAATTAATATGTACAATGACATATGCATGAAGCGACGAAGGATGGTAAAGACGCACCACAGTGTTGTTCTGTGTGTCCTTAACAGAACCGTGTTACTAATATTTCAACCTGACTTTAATTAAATGCAATTGAAATGTTCAGCCATGCTCTCTTTGTCTGCAACCATGATGTGATCCACATTAACCTCTATATAGGAAAGAGTGTGCGTGCGTGTGTGCGTGTGTGCGTGCGTGCGTGCGTGTGTGTGTGTGTATCCCATCCAGAGGCTGTCAGTTCCAACAGCCTCACTCTGCTCTAATGACTAGTTTGACCTTTCACTGATAACTGGATGAATGACACGATCTCTCCTTCCCTTCCAATCCTGCCCAGACTCTCTTTAAACACTCAACCGGCTCCATCTTTGCTGCAGGATTTCTTATCTCTGCTTTTTACAATTCATGTCTGTTTGTCACACTGTGTTTTAACCATCTTTTTATGATTCTTATTTGCAGTAACTATTCACATACTTACATATTTGGCTCAATTGGCTGATAATGTTTCCGTTTTCTTGATATCAATGCGGTTTATAAACCGTACATACATTTAATTACATACGTCGAAACATTTTGATCGTTGTGGACACTTGTGGTTTTGCTTTTGGTGGTATTGCGTTGTTTACTTTTTCTTTAAGGCAAAACACATAGTTAATATAATAATAATAATAATATAATATACAATTATAATCCAACACAAAAGCGCCCATAAATTAACATAACAAAATACTGTAATAATTACAAGGTATTACTTTAACTGATAACTATTCATACACATATTATTATGGTTGTAGATCAAACTCCAAGTCGTTTTTGATAACTTTAAACAGCAAAGTTACAAAATGTACTTCATTTATTATCTAAATTTCAAGCTGAAAATAAGGTTAAAGTTCTGCGTGTTGCCACTGGATGGCAGCAGAGACAACAGCTTCCACGGTGCGCTGTCCGTGGTGCTGAACCCTCCTACTGCCGTCCCCTTCTTTGTTCTCCGTGCTTCTGTCCCTGGTGCTGAATGATGGGTATCTTATTATATCGCTCCTCTGACATCAGTCCGGCGCCTCTGCTGCCTGCAGAAGAATTGGGTGGAACAGAACACCAGTATGTGACATTGCATTAGTAGCCATTAGTAGCCACCAGTGTGACTGGTCAGTGTGTCTGACCAGGCAAACCAAAAAGTCCTCCTCTTATGTTTTGGCCTAACGCTTACTGTTACAGGCTTAAACACAACACACTTGGTGTCGCTGACGTCTGTGAAGTACTTGAATTGTGAGTCAGTGCTACCAAATGGAGTTTGTGTCAGCAAACGTGTCCACAATCATTGCTGGAACATTAGTGTCCAAGGTGTCTCTCACTGCCAACGACAGACTTGTTTAATCACTGAAGTCAGGTTCCCTGAAACCGGAGCAGAGAGACGAGTGTTTAGAATTACAAGCAACTGTTAACACCTCTCCTTTCATGACACTGGCGTATTAAAACAAATGAGGAAATGCAAAAACAAATCGCAGATTGAATTGTAATTCTAAATTACTGTTGATGGAATGATTTAGAAAGAGTCAGGCCCATTGGAGTCAACCCCACGTGAAGGGATGAAACTGATACGACCTTAATAGAAACAATAGGGTTCTAAATGTTGAAATGTAAATATCGCATGCCAAATTTCAGCATTTGAACGGAAAGGCTTTTAAAGAACCCTCCACTTGGTAGGATTGTCTGATTTGAAATACTTAAGTTTACATGTTGTAAGCTTAGCAGCATTATTTGCAAGACAACCTGTTGGCTTTTTTTTGTGCACCATCGTATTAGTCAGGATTTTGGATTCTAAAAAAGTCTGAAATATTGTGCATTGAATGTGCACTTTACCTGAAAGAAGAGAGCCGGGGTTTAAAAAAAAGGATCATTCCCTTCTGTAGTCCCAGTGTTATTTTATTGTGTGGTCTTCTTTACCCTCTAGTGGTGCTCAGAGAAGCTGCAGCCATTGAATGTCAGACCTCATCTGCTGATCAAAATACTCTCTGCTGTAGTTAATGCAAACATAGTGCTCAACTCCAGAAACGTGTTCGCAAGTTGCTTTGCCTTATTCAGTTTGGATTGAAAATAACGGTGTGTTTTTTTTACATTTTATAAACATTTTGCTGGAGGCTTAAAGTAACTTAGTTGGTTTAGCTCAAGTCTTTATTTCTGTGGTCCTAGTTTGCCTGACGTTTAATCCAAAACCGCTGTGGAAATATGTGATCAAATATATTGGACATATTGCAATAAATACCGAATAGGATTAAAATCTATGGTAATATCTAATTTACAAATTGGTTGAGTTTGTAAAATTCTAAAAAGAACTAGACACTTTGACGTGTTATGCAGTTTTTTTTAACCCAAACTATATTTTTATCAAATTTCAGTTGGATTGTTCTGACAAAAGAGAGGTGGGTGCGATGCTGATCCACATAAACAAACACAAACACTGTTTTCAAAGAAGCAAATGACAATAGACGTCTCTGTGTCGGGGCGGTATTCCCCCGCTGACCTGAAGGGGGCAGCGCAGCGCCTCCAACCGCCGACACCGAAGAAGAAGCGTCGCGTCTGTCGGTCGGGTATCCAATGCAGAGCAATGGGGTGAGTAACGTTATATTTATTAACCAGCCGCTCAGAGCTGTGTTTCAAAATGTTAGAATTTAGACAATAAGCAATCGAATCGCCGGTTTTTCGTGAATGCGAAGCGCGTCTTGTCGCGTAATTCGTCGCGGTTTTAGCAGCGCTGATGGTGACAGCTGCTGTCCGCCTACACACAGTAGCATCGGTCGCTGTTAGCCGGTTAGCTCCTCGTTAGCTCCCGTAGCGCGGTGAGATCGGGTCCTCCAACATGTATTCCCTCTTTTTTTAGAACGATCTGACGTGAATGAAAGACGGACAACCGCTACTGTTAGTACTGAATATAAGCAGAGGGAGAATGAGCACAGGGACGTTAGCTCGTTGCTAACGTTAGCTCATTAAAATCATCCTACTAAAGGCAGAACCTTTCTTTTTTTTGTTTCACCTTAACGAGGCGGTGAATTCAGATGAACTGCCAGCCGAATGTTCTGTACGTTTCTCTCCATTTCACCAGAGACAGAGAAAGAAAGCGCATGAATGGGAACATGTGATATTTTAGAAATGTCTGAAATATCACAGGTTCCCATTTAAACAATCAGTAAGCAAAGGTCACATTTAGATCTTAGCTCAGTGTCCTCTGTAAATGTGAGACGACATTTTACGTTTTTAATCATGGTGGAGGATAAAGCCCCACTTTCAATTAATATACTCATACATATGTGATTATATTTGAATACAAAGATCAATGCAACTGCACTGGAAGGTGTCACATAATATGTATTTATTGAACAATCCAAACATGACATTGTTCTTCCAATCAACTGTCATGGAATACGAGGTCATACAGCGCTTTGTGTTCCCACGTTCACTCACTCATCCCTCTCCTTCCTTCCCCCTCCAGTCTTCCTGACAGCTGCTGACGCTCTGTGGCGATCGCCCCCCACACAAACACACACAGCCGTCCGTCAACATGCAAGGATTCTACTCCAAGCTCGACTCCTCCTCGTCCCCGCTGCTGGGCGGGGGCCTCGGGGCCGAAGGCGCCCCGGTGCCTCTCAGCCTGGCCGTGGAGACGAAGAAGGCTCAGGCTCTCCTGCAGACGTTCAGCTCCGCCTCCCTGCTGGCGTCGGCGGGACTCGGCGTGTTCTGCGTGGTGGCGGACCACACCCTCCAGCTGTCCGTGGTCCAGAACCACCTGTGGCTGCGCGCCGCCCTGGACAACGCCACGCACGGGCTGGTGGGGCTCTGGTCGTGGGCCGTTGTCATCGGACTGAGGAAAAAGAGTGACGTGTATGAGGTGCTGCTCGCCGGCCTGCTGGCATCCATCATAGACCTGGACCACTTCTATTTGGCAGGATCCCTGTCACTCAAGGTAAGATCGCACGGAACACTAATTCATGTTAAAGAAGAATGCTTTCAAAATAAATAAAATGTGGACTTTCAGTTCCTGTTTTGCAATGAGTATCGGATTATGTGTTCGCGTAACGATATATATTAATCTGCCAATATCTCTCTATCATGGTCATGGTCGCAATATTCAGATAGATATATTCATATTTTATAATAACACTGAAGAAGCCTCATTCTTCAACAAATCCAATGCATTTGTGTGGCTTTGCTGAAGCTGCTTCTGAACGATATAAAAACATTTAGAGCCTTGTAGAGTACGCTTAGTCTTCAGTGACTATGAATTATTTAAATAATGATTTTTTTCATCCAATTCCTTCTAGAGATGCCAACAAAAGAACAATCTTGCAGACTTGGACCTCTTTTACAGCTTTGGTTTCTTATCAGATGAAAAATTAACGAGGTGCAGACAACACGTTTTTTACTGCACTACGAACGAATCTTGGCACAAATTTTAGTGAGCAGTTGCTTTACAAAACCTGTCAGAAATATGTGCTTTTGTTTCTGCTGTAGTGAGAGCGGTGACTCATGATTCTGAAGAACGGCGCTTGCAGTCCAAACCACTTTGGGGTAATTCTCTCTCTCCCACTCTCTCTTGCAGGCTGCCGTCTCGCTCCCTCGGCGTCCCCCCCTCCACTGTTCCTCCCTCATCCCCGTCCTCTGTCTCTCCCTCCGCTTCCTCATGTGGATGGGGCGACTCAAAGACGCTTGGTGCTCCTTGCCCTGGATGCTTTTCATTTCCATGGCAACGCACCACGTGCGCGACGCCGTGCGCCGCGGCCTCTGGGTGTGCCCGTTTGGCAACACGGCGCCGCTCCCCTACTGGCTGTACGTCAGCACCACGGCGACGCTCCCCCACCTGTGCTCGGTGCTCATGTATTTGACGGGAACCAGGGACGTGATCTCCACCAAACACGGGGTGGCCATCGACGTTTAGGAGCGACCGACCACCCAAGAATCTCCATGGCAACTCCCACTGTATGGTTCTGTAAAACAACAAAACGTACAATTAGACTCTTCCGTGGACCCAAAGGACCCTTTTAAAGCTGTCTCGTATCGTTCGCGGGGGCTCGTCTGCGATCCGCCCGTCTCTCCCCCGAAGCTGATAGGGGACCGGAGAACGCCAACCACTCGTCACGTGAACCCTGTCCGTCCACGTCCTGAGAAGGAACACTCAAGGAAAAGCCCACCAAAGGTTATCCCTCCCCTGGCTGTGTGTGCGCGCGCGTCACCACGGTTACTCCACTTTGCTGCCACAGTAGTGAAATGTTGTGTGTTTAGAGTACGCTTCAACTCTTTCACGTCATCGTGCTGACTTCGGGCCTCCAGCCGTCACCACTTCAGCAACGCTCAGATGGGTGTTGTTTTCCTTTATGGATCAATATTTAAATTGAAGCACCAAACTAGCGAGGTCTCCAGGGTGTTGTGTAATGGCTGTAGGATTCTTTTACATCAAGCCCTCCAGAAGGAGGCACCTGGAGATGCTGGACGTTTTCATGCACTGTATTAACTTGTATTGTTGTTGGCTATTTGATGAAATGACAGAATGCACTGAGTCGGCTTCATGGCGGTGAAACCATGATGGAGGACGTGGGTTGTTTGTCTCGCGTGAATAACATCCACTATGACGCATATGGAGGTAGGAAGTCATCCGACTGGATAAAGAAAGCAGCGTTCCCCAATACGGTTAAATCTTTTTGTTGGCACAGTGGCTTTAATGCCAATTTAGCCCTTAGTTGAATTCCCCAGTGTGATGTTGAAAAACAATCCATTTCAGTGTTAATTGACCTTTAGAGGTCACGCAGTGGCTGCGTATGTTTCACTGCTGCTTATGTGACATCATTATGTCAAAGTTGCATTTTGCACATCTCTTTAAGTTATGTTTGCTGTTTTTGTATGACGATCATTTGATTAATAGTAAGTATTGATATTAACAGTTTGAAAGTAGTGTTTATCAATAAAATGTCTGTTTGCAACAAAACTTATTTGACCTACGTTAAGAAACCTGTACACACAAAATGTATCCGCTTCAATCCCAAAGACTGTACAAGGTAACACAGGATAAAAACAGATTTATTTGCAGCTCTGACATCGGAAACATTAATCGCATCACAGGTAATTTCATTCGTATTTTGTGCCAAACATGCTGATGTTGCAACAAACACACACATACACACACCGGCATCGATAGACAACAGTTAAAACTGAAGAAACGTGTATAAACTGCAGGCATCAGTGAGAATTCACACACAGGATTTCCAAAAATAAAATCTCTTCGAGGTACTTGGATTGATTAGTTGTTTTGATATATGGAGCACAACATCACGTCTGGTCTCTTACCGTTGTTTAGAATGCATGAATATTTAGGAGATCAGAGAAGTTAATGGCAGGTACAACGTGACTGTAAACCTTCAAAGTGAATTCAAAAACGCCTAAAACTTATGGAAGAGATGCTCAATGGAAAAACATGATTTACAGTGAAAATGAAGGTAAAATATACCAGTACATAACGTCAGGCGTACCAGTGGCGTACAGTTCTTTACAAGCGTAAACTTTTGACCAAATGATGTCATGGCTCTCTAGAGTTTCCAGTTACTTCTTTATCAGAGTTGTAGAAATAACTGGAAACTCTAGAGAGCCATGACATGTTCTTTACAAGCTTAAACTTGAGACCACAACTGTATATACCAGTATAAACCAGTGGCACAGCTCAATACTGAATGGAGGGGACATAAAGGCTTGGATCAGTTTGTCACAATAATGGAACGTCCATCTAGGAGGTGACGAGCGCCGGGAATTTGGAGGGAAGTTTCTGGTGGATCTCAAAGAATAATTTTAGTGTTTCATATTTTTTCATTTGTAATTGCATTTAAACTAATTAATTAGTTGCCAGTCATACGGATACATGAGACTGCAAGTGTTCTATTGAGTCATTTAAACTGTTTAACCGTATTTTTACCAAAAACTTGGTCACTTTTTTTAAAAAACAGTAAAGATGACAACCTACTGGTAATCAACACTAAGTAAGGGTTAAAGACTGCACTAATCACATTTTTGTACTAACAACTGGTTTCATAAGATGAAATGTGGCCCTCATAGTCTCATTATACAAAGACCTCCTAACTCACTGTTTTGGTTTCCTGGCAGATTTAGTGTGCGGTTCAGTCACAGTCGCCCTTCCAGCAACTTTGAGAACCATTAAAGGAAATCATCATCCCATCAAGTCTTGCTTGAGACATGACTGAAACATTAAGCAAATAAAAACAGGTTATTCTCTGGACACGGCGAAGACAAAAACAAAGTTAAAAAGAGTGTGAACATCGGAATAAGATTCATTTAGAAACAAACTAAACGTTCAACAATTCCATTGGGCCAAAGTAAAAAAAAAAAAAAAATGTAATTCCGCTTTGACCACTTGTCTCGTTAATGAAAGTTTGAGCAAAAGAAAAAAAAGTGGAAACTATAAAGGAAGCAAAGAGGATCTCGCCACGTTGTTTCTGTGAGTGTTCAGAAATATGCAACCTGTGCTTTACAAAGACGAGACTTAAGAGCAAGTTGGTAACCAAAGCAACGCAAAAGACGCACGATACACAGAAGTTCCTGGGAACTTCACATCCGCTGTAGTTTGGGAGTGAACGTTACAATGCAAGCCGGTTCCTTTTGTCTTTCTAGACGGCACGTTTATATTTCGAGAAACTGCAATCAAAGAGCAGCGAGTTTTCAGAAACGTCACTGAGCGACTGTTTCAGAGGGAAAACACGTCGACTCCTTTTCCATTTGAAGAGGCAGTTTTTCCTCTGAGTGAACAACGTAACGGGGTTCAGATCTTGTGATACTTCCAAATTTGGCACGCTGGTAAACCAAAGATTTATTTTATGGATCAATCAAGTAAATAGTAAAATATTACTGATAAAAAGGACTTAATCAAATATTGAAATGTAACTATTTATAATCTTTAAAATGACCACAGCAGTGTTTAACATTAGTAAGCCCACTCAAATGTTCCTTAACGTTACTTTCGACCCACCTGGCACTCTGGTTTCTGTATAATACTCTAATAATCAGCTCACTGGAGGAAAATAGGATCCAGCTGCAAGGCGGCAAGCGCAATGTTCTTTTTTTGGCGCAATTAAAACTGTTCAACATTTTGATGAAGTAAGGCAGATCAAGTTGTTACTTGATAAGATGAATTCTGTGGAGTTGCGCTTAAAGACAAAGAGATCATCTTAGACCATGTTTTGACTGTTAAAGGTTTTTTTGCAACGCACAAGCATGCAGCCTCTGGACAGGAACTCGAAGGAAGTTACGGAGTAAAGACATGACATAATTTATATAGGTTACCAGCACAGCTGCAGTTATATAGTTTGTTATGCAACGACAAAGTGTTTACCAACCACACACAGAGGATTGGTCCGCGATAACTTCCATTGTTACGCCCAAAAAGCATTAAACAACTTCTACTGTACTTCTTTAAGGGTTTAAGGGTCTATTTTCTTCATGTTAGTGGCCGATTTTGTTGATAAATTGGTGGTTTTGGGGTTAACAAGACAACCGAGCTCGAGAGCATTAAAGCGATGACGAAACAAACTACAAGTAGAAATGCAGTCGAGATTTCCTCCTGGTGTGACGTGAAGGATATAAACAAATGGCAACAGAAATAATAATCTATGTTTTATATTTAATACATATAAATAGTTGGTCACTTTATATTCTTACAACATTGGTCATGTATGAAGTGATAATTCTCATTATCTGTTAGGGGGTGAGGGGTCATTAGGGGAAAATCAGCTGATCGGGAGGCTGACGTCACATGACTGGCACATTGCTGCTGAGATAATGGAATCCTCGTCTCCACTTCAATTAACTTTTTATTCAATACCTTTATGTTAGATTACACAAAATATGCATTTGATTTGTAAATAGCCAGTATATTTGTTTAGTCTTTAACGTTGAATCCCCATTGCTTTCCCAGTTTGCCAATTTATCACATACAGACATTATGTATGTGGACACTTTAGAAGCCAAGGCAGTAGATCCGTTTGACACTATATCCTGCTGACTGTAGACTCACATGTCCCATGCTGTACCCATATTAGTCCTACATATGAATGGTACATAATCAGCCACGTCCGGCACCATCAGGAAAACACAACGCAGAGACAGCTGTGCTGCAGCAAAGATCAACGTGGCTGCTGACAGGGAGCAAAAACAGCCACAAAGGAGATAGCATGAGCCATCTCTGCATGCAGGGGTGCTGCTGTTCCGGCGAGAATGATAGAAAACAACATTGTGATATACTTTTCTCAATTTGAATTCTTAAAAGTTACCAAAAAAAATGCAAAGTCTTTTTTTACTCTGAAACAATCAATCATCAGCTGCTTTTGGTAACATAGCGATATAGCACATGTGTGCACTTCCAACACTGCCAGGCACCAATAGCCTTGAGCTAGTTTGTTAGCTGGGCCTGTCCAAGCAACATGTATTCCTAGGTTTTATTCCAAAAGGAGTGTCAACATTAATTGTCAATTCCAAAATAGTAACATTGTTTAAAATGAATATACGGTGACATGATAATCACTAACGGGGGGCCAGTCTGGTTACAGAATACTCCGAAGTGGCCATTTAACCGCCTCTGCTCAGTTTAGGGAGCGTCTTTTTTATTTACTGCAACTAAAGTTTAACATGAGGTTTAGTATTGGCGTGCTTTTTACCTGCACAGCTCGTTGGGGATTAGGTTCTACATCACGGTAAACTTGACCGTAGAAGCTAAAGCGCCGGCGTTAGTTTAGCAGACAAAACCAGCAATCATTTATGAACAGCAGCACCTCTCTCTCACGAGTCAAAGACCTCCACCATGACAGCCTATCACATCGAAACGCTATTTAGTGCATTTTTTAGGAAACAGACCAGCCAAAAAAACACTGCTTGGAGCACTGAAAAGTGATTATACCCAACTAGACAAAGTAGACAAAAAAAACTAAACTTGCTGGTCGCACAGCTGCTCGCTCTGATCCAGGAGGAAACGTTTGAGAGAGGACCGTGACTCGGGCTCCTTTACACAGCCAGACGTTAAGCTCTTTACGCCACAGATCAGACAGCCAAGGCACATTACGTGTCCGACAGCGATGAAACTGTCCCCTCGGGTTTTAATTTCCTCCTGAACAGTCCTCAACGGAAAACAGGCTCAGGCTGTGTTACCTCCAACATCCACCAGAGGGAGACCAACCTGCTTCAATGCCCTGTGGCAGAGCGCGTGGGAGGAGAGAAAACGACGAACACAGCTTGGACGAGGAAGAAAAGTGGACCATGAGATGGTTCAAAGTAGTATCTTAGAGATGGGATTGGACAGGAGAAGATAAAGAAACATGCAATCAAAGAGGACGGCGGAGGAGGAGGTAAAAGAAGCGGGGAATGTGGCGAGTAGAAAAGACGGACGACTGAAGCGCTGACTGGTCGTTCCACTCTCCGTCTAGCATGCGCATTTCTTCTCGTTGGGCTGCGCCTCGGCGAGCTTTGTGGCCCCGTTCCCGTTGGAGGGCTCGGCGGGCGGTTTGTCGACGCACTGCTCCATCCTCTTCATGACCAGGTCCAACAGGGTTATCACCGCCTTGTCCACCTCGGTACCCGTCGCTGCACTCGTCTCAAAGTACGGGATCCTGTGGGCGACAGGAGCAGAATTATCAGTTTAAAAGGATGACTGAAGACAGTTTCCCAATTACTCCCATCAGTTTTTTTAATTGATTTCATATAATCTCTTTTTAAATCACCCTGGATAGACTTGCAAATATATGCACGGCCCATTAGAGACAGCAACAAGCAGCAACAAGGGAGCTTCATTGTGTTCGTCAAAGCTTAATTATTTGAAATCTTAAATGCTCCTTTAAATTATCTTAATTACTCCATTCCGATTTCTTATAATGAATGAACCTCGGGAGGCTTTAAAGGGCCTAACAGGCACGGTTTGCTGGAGGGGGTTGTTTCTGCACAACATGTTAAGACAAAAGTTTGAAACAATCAAACTCGCGGAACAAGGAAGCAAAAGGTTAAATCTCTGGCCGATTCGGACAGAGCGAAGGCATCACTAACTCCATCTTTAAACTATTGTTTACATACGCTGCCCTCGGCCTCAGATGTTCATGAGTCCCTTCCGCCTTGAACGGTTCCCCGGAGATTAAGACACATTTGATCATTTCCTGCAACAGTCTGATGTACTCGGGCAACACAATTCTGAGGTCTTTGTTTCCTGAAATATTTTTAACCTTGTCCAACGGGAAGTCTGGAAATAAGAGTTGAGTGATCCTCATGGGGCATGCACAAGGCCTGCCTTTGGTGTCTTGTCTCACCGCGCCGCTCACAGTCAACACTTAACTTGTGTACTTGGAAGTTAGAAACTTACCCGTATTTGTCAGCCAGCTCCTTGGCCTGTTTCTCCTGAACCTCCCGCTGGTCGGCCAGGTCGGCCTTGTTTCCTACCAACACAATATCTGGGTTCTCGCAGTAGGCATTGGCCTGCAGCTGACCTGGGGAGGAACGCAAACATTCAAAAAAAAAGCAAACGAATGAGGCGCACGTGGGAAACAGAAAAGTATCTTTGCACAGCTGAGTGATGTTTCTGGGGGAACGTCAATAAAAGACAAAGAAAAATAGTATTAAAGAGTTTTTAACAGCACCGTAGAGGGGTGAACTTTGACCTGCAGCTTACACAAAGGCGCTTTCTCAACACATAACCAAAATGTGAGGTTAGAAACGTACTCATCCAGTTTCTGACATTGAGGAAGCTCTGCTGGCTGGTGAGATCAAACATCAGCAGGAATCCCATGGCGTCCCTGAAGAACGCAGTAGTGAGGCTGCGGAACCTGAAGCGCGCGCACACACACACACACAACGGACAAGAACAAAATGAACGCCACACGGGAGCAGGGGACACCGGCGCTGAACAGTGGTCAGTGCAGCGAACGAACATTATGACAAAATAGAAGTGAACCAAAGCGACGCCTGAGCTGGGGACACGGGGGTAAGTGGGGGGACGCGCACTGCACGTGCTGTGCGATATCGGAGCGGATGATGGCGGGCAGAGAACAGGAGACCAGGGAGGGGTGTGGTTTACGCCAGGTAACCGTTACCACCTGAACGGACTCAAGGACGTGTGAAGAGGAGGACTTGTGTCCCAGGCATTTTCCTAAAATCAGCAGACCTCTTCTAAACACTTTACAGCTAACTGGTATCATATGTTAGAGGAACACGTGAGGCCTCTATTTGAGCGGGTATTATTTTATGTAACTCAATTAGTGACTTTATTTGAATAGGCTTGGAATAAACAAGCTTTGCATAACTCATTTTGCTAAATTGTCCCTCATATGTGATACTTAATCCTTTTGGTTCTGATATTATTGCTCAGAACCAACTAGACTGATAGTTAGAGACCAAAGTAGTGTATTATTGTATACACAACAGAATATATTGTGCATACAAAATAAATTAATATATATAAAAAATAAATAAATCTATCCATCTATCAATTAAAAAAGTATAAAATGCAAATATTGCTAATAATCAAGCTTCATTGAGCCAAACTTATGTGGCATGCTGGGCTTCTGGGTAATTATTCTGCGTAAAGGAACCAGTGGTGCTCCATCAGGAGAGGGTTTTTTACACTGAGCTGAAGAAATAAAGTCAGAATCATGTAACTTCCACTGACTCATCGTACAATGAGTCATCAGTTCTTATAAAAGCCTGCCACACACACACACATTTATTAAAAAAAACGCTAAAACTAATGGGTTTAATGGACAGTGGGATGAGCAGCTCACCTCTCCTGTCCAGCTGTGTCCCACAGCTGGAGGTGAACCTTGAAGGTTTTCCCCACGGTCGTCCCATTGGGGTTGGCTGCGGTGTACATCTGGAGAGAGAGAGGGAGGAGCTAAAGCTTACAGGCAGCCGTCTGCGGACATCAGACGACTTTGCTGCTCCGTCTTCGCTGAAACCGATTACGAAACTGGACTCTGCTTCTCACAGCACATCGCTGCACGTGATAACGCGCGTTCCCGAGTTTTACAGTCCTATGTAACCATTTTATAAGCAACAATGATCGTGGGTCGTCAGCACGGCGACCTTGACTCTGGCGCGATGAACTCCTGTGAGTGGCAGCCGGTGGCGTTTGTGTCTCTGCTGGAAGCTTCGGGCGCCATTCGCACCTCGTACTCTCCCAGATGAGGCAGCGCTCACAGCAATCACGCCCTGGGGTGCGTGCAGCTCAGTGTTCTACGTGGCGGCGGAGGGATAATGAGGATCCTTGTGCGTCGGAGAGCGCGAGTCCTCCCTGGTGGGACCCGTGGTGCAGTTCGTTGTGGAAGCCGAAATGGTCAGAAAACTAGAAAAAGTTCTACACAAGTTCTGTCCATTAACCAATTCGGCTTATTAAAACGTAAGACCCTTAACTGACTCGTCACCATTTGAGGCCTGAACAGAGCGATTACGTCGGACTGTGTGACACAATCTTTGGTCTGAATACTATAAATAACTATAATCTATGTATGAATTCAAAATATTGTTGTAAGTCAGCTCAAAGTCATTTTTTTTGTTGTCCCCACACACAAAAGGGCAGCCGGAGTCCCGTTAGAAACGGCCGTGTGCCCCGGGGACCCCGGCTCTCGCCAGATGTTAGCTGGGATTGACTGCAGCCCCCTCGCGACCCTCTAAGATGACTGACGGACATGCTCACTACATCCAGCTCGGTTTACAGCAGCTGGAGATTTTGCTTCATTACGGCGCATCACAACTGTCAGTTCTGCTTCAAAGGCTGAAACTGGCCCACATTAATCTTCAGTCTCCATTAGAAAGCCCTCAGGAGACGCCCCTGACAGCACTGAGCTACAGCTGTGATCCTACACGTCTATTTCTGTTTCCTCCCTTGACTTCTGAACACTGGGTGTGATCTAAACACACACACACACACACACACACACACACACACACATCAAGGACAATAATCAACCCTGAGAGTCATCTGGAGTCATTATGCAGGTTAATGCAGCATTGTCAGTTAAAGAATAGCACCAAAGTGACCAAACCAAGCCCCGCCCACTCTCTCATTCAAATAGCTGCATCTCACACTTGGAGATGTTAATGGGTTAAAGGTGTTAAAGGGTTGAGTTACTCCCTCTTCATTACGACTGCAGACCTGTAGTTAAAAAACAACATTGTCAAGTTTGCAGACGACACAACAGTGATCGGTCTCATCAGCAAAAAGGATGAGTCGGCCGACAGGAAAGCGGTCCAGTACTCGGCTGAGTGGTGCGCCAACAACAACCTGGCACTCAACACCAAGACGACCAAGGAGCTCATTGAAGACTTCAGGAAAACAAACACTCCATCTCCATCAACGGGACGGGGGTTGAGTGTAGCTAGCTTCAAGTTCCTGGGTGTCCACATCTCCGAGGACCTCTCTTGGACCCTCTTCTCACTGAGGAGACTGAAGGCCCATCTGTCCCCTCAGATCCCGGTGAACTTCTACTGCTGCACCATCGAGAGCATCCTCACCAACTGCATCACGCTGCGGTACGGCAGATGTCTGCGGAGGGCGCGCGGCATCGGGAAGGACAACGCTCACCCCAGCCGCAGGCCGTTTGCCCTCCTCCCCTCTGGGAGGCGCTACAGGGCCCTCCGTTCCCCGACCAGCAGGTTGAGGAACAGCGTCTTCCCTGCCACCGTCACCCTGAGGAACTCTGCACCAGGGTGAAAGCCCGCCCCCCCCCCTTACACCTCTCCCACTGACACACGACCTTCCAGCCACTGAACAGTCTGCACTTCGAATAATGCCATATTTGCACAACTTGCAGTACCGTGTCATCCATATTTACAACCCTGCAGCTTAACGTATATACTGCTCCATGTATATTTCACACTGTACATTTATTTATATATACTCTGCACTTTATCTGCTCTCTTGCACATCTGGTTAGATGCTAAACTGCATTTTGTTGTCTCAGTACTCTGTGCAATGACAATAACGCTAAAAAGCTGCTGTAGACGACAATAACAAGGGAAAGAGGTTTAGGAACTTTGAGGTCATTCATGGACTTTGGACCCGATTTAATTGTTTTCCGGACAGTTCTTGAACCGTGATAAAAAACATCTGGAGCCTTGAAACCTGAGTAAATAGCACTTAAAAGCACTGAACGGGTTTTGACAGACATTATAATTGTAGTAGTAGTAGTAATGATTATAATGTTGCTTTATTAAACAAGAAAATAAAAGTAACGAATATTGTCTCTATTATTTCTTCATTCCTTGATGAAATATTTGGTTGAATTCTCAATGACTAAAATAACTGCCAGCTGCAGCCCAGAAAGAAATAAGGAACTTACCACTCTCTTTTCCCTGAAGTCGATGCCGACTGTGGTGATGAACTTGGGGTTGAACTTGTTGTCTGTGTATCGGTACAGGAAGGTGGTCTTGCCCACGCCGGAGTCCCCCAAGGCGAGGAGCTTGATAAGGTAGTCATAATCCCCTTCAGTCATAGTGATGCCGGTTAGAAACCTGTGGAGGACAGAGAGTGGAGCGCGTTAAGAGAAATCCCTCAAGTCAGTTTAAGGCGCTCTGGGGACGTGAGGTCACGCGAGGTAAATAAAGAGTGGAAGAAAAGACGAGAAAAGGGACAAACACACAAACACTGACATCCGATGTTTGAGAAGTTGAACAAGCCGATGAAGCGAAAACACACAGAGCGACGGGAAAGAGATGCTGTGCGTCTGTTGTATAATCACCGTTGAATTATGGAAGTGTGGTCAGAGGGTCGCCCTTTCCATAACAGGACTTCCTGGGAAAATGGTCAGTGTGTGTGTGTGTGTGTGTGTGTGTGTGTGTGGGAAAGCAGTAGAAAATGAAGTCTGCCTGGGCGTCAGCTAGTGGACACCAATAGAGAAAAGGAATGTTGTTTTCATGAGCTCTTGAACAAAGAGAGAACCCATCCACTGAGTTGTAGTCCGTTTGCCTCGTGGCCAAATGTGATACATTTAGAAGGAGAATCACAAGACTCTAATTCACTCAGCTGAGAAGAAGCACACGTAACACTGGGCCGCATCACAGTGAATATCTCCTCACAATGACCTCCCTGTACGACGAGAATCAGAGCCTGAACAGAATGGAGCAAAGAGCGGCGCTATAATTCAACAGCACTCACTCCTCATCTTTACATAACGCAATTAGTTTGGAATAAATAGATTGGCATTACTACGGCTCACACAGATGTCACGTTATGTTCTTTTTTTAGGCACATTTCACTTGGATCATTTGAGAGGATCATTTTGAAGTGGTCGTTAACGTCCAAACTCTGCAGGCATCTGCCGATTATTTCAGAATGGTTGCAGGCGAGTGTGTGTCCTAGTACAGCTGAAGCTATCGGAATCTAGCCTGGACTGATTCAAGTTGAAAGTATGAGCTTGTATTATAAGCGGAGCAGATAGAAATGACAACAACAACCCCTTTGATTTAGCGCCAGCAGCAGAATCCTTCACGCTGTGGCACAGCAAGGCTTCCCCTACATTTTTCATAAATGTTACAAATTGTCATGTTGACCAGGTCGGTGTGTCACAGCCGACTGTTACGGTCACTGGCCCTTCTCACTATTCGGATTTGAAACTTATTTCATTATTTAATTACGTATTGAAAATAACATGGACGCAAGTTTATTGACATGCATTCGTTGACGTCCTGATGGCACGTCATCAATTTAAAAAATTGACAGCTCTGCGTTGTTGGATTGTGACAACTAACAAAAACTAAAGAGCAAACACGATCTTCTCTGTGCCAAATGAATGAAGTGAAACCAGTGGAAGACCTCACGACTTGGGCTTCTAGCATTGTTTTACACTTTGCCGCCGTATGACAGTAAACCGAAGGGAGCTGGAGCCAATTGATCTGCGGCCTGAAAACCAGGGACGTTTGTAGTGTGATCATTAGGACAGTCGCGATTCCCCTGAGAGTGAAACCGTTAAAAGCAGCTCGGTCACCCTGACAACGAATCAACAATCTTTAAAATGAAACAAAAGACGCAAATGAGGAGCGTTCGTGTTCTTAATCGTTGTGGACCATTTGGTTCGGCTTCTCACAGGGTGCAACAACAACAACGCGGCCGCGGCGCTGGTTCAGATGTGTTCGAGGAACATCGGCCATGTGGCGACTCCTTCGTCTTTGAAGGCACCAGGGGAGTCGTTAGTGATCTTCTGCTGTACGGCGCAGCGTCCACTACTGCAGCACAGGGGTCGCATCACTAAATGCCTGGAATCTACTCTCCTCCGGACCGTTGCAGGACGGGTGGACGTGTGTACGTGTGTGTGGGAAATGCCTCTTAACCCTAAAGGCCAATACAGGCGGCTTCTGTCAAATAGGAGGAGGAGCCTGAGCTTCTAGCACCCAGTGGTTTGTGGCGGTGTTCTCTGATCGCGCTCTAAAAGGGCTCGTGTAACGTTCAATACAGCCACTTCCCCGCGTCGGAGGTTATACACGTGTACATAATCAATATCGTGACCGCAGTCAACTTTGGGAATTCCACTCTACAAGTACCAGATCAATGTCAGTTCACGGAGTTTACCCTTTTAATATCTATTCAGCCTGATCTGTGATCTATCGTTACGGGTTTTCCCTATTTGATCGTAATCAAATCGTTAGTAAATAATAGTCCTCGCTTTTATTCCCCTTTGAACTTTAAGTTTATTTAAAGAGCACATTAAAAAATTTCAAACACATTAATGGTAAATAAAAAAAGAAAAAAGAAATTCTGAACACGTTATAAATATACAGCGAATGAATTCCCACCTCATGTTACTTCCGCAGCGTTGACCATCGGAATGCTTTTGTAGTTCTTTTTAGCCGTTATTAGCAATTTGAGTACCATCCTCAGCTGATGCTGATGTGAATACTGACATTGACTTCATGGATTCCACCTTATGACATTTTGGACGATGTAGTTTGTGCTGCTGAAAAAGAAAAACAAGAGAAACAAACAGTGGCGTCCTGCAGCTTAGAGGAGAGCTGATGTTTGAGTTTTTTTATGAATAAACCTCACGAGCATCACTATCAGAGAATCTATGAGGAAGTTGTGTTATGTGCTTCCTCCGCTCGCTTACATCTGTGAGATGAAAAAACACAGCACACCGCTTTCAGACCAGCAGCTACCTGAACGGGCAGCCTCGTAGTGTCACGGCTTGTCTATTAGAGGCCTGTTTTGACAAATGTTTAAGGATAAACCTCCACAAAGAGCGACTGCACTAGTGACATTTATTTTATTAGAGAAACTGAAGTCTTACACTTTTACATCTGAAGCATCAGAAATCTTAACGGCACCTTCCGGATGTCCCCGACTGGCCGGAGAGCTTCTGTGTACCGGCTGAGGACTCAGAGTACGGACTCACTCTACTGGAAAAACCAGTCCTCTCAAATGTTTGTCTTTGACGTTTGCATGACAGAAAGACAAATCGACAAAACGCACACAAGAGAAAAAAAAAAAAAAAAAAAAAAAAAGACGAGCGTCAACAGATCAGCTCGCTCTGTGAGGGTGTACTCGGGCATGTGAACAAGATTGAGAACCACAACGGATATTATGTCCCGGCTCACTATCACATGCTTTACATACACACTTTGTAACACTACTCTGTGATACAAGGAGAGACAATCGTCCAAGTTTTAGCTGATCTGCTGTAACCAGTGACGGCTGAATCTCATTATATATCTTGAAAAAACTTTTGTGGGTAAGATTTACGCTCATGAACCGCGTGATGACTTTTACTTTGGTTACTTTTTCTTGAATGATATCTTGTAAAATGCATGTTTTTTTGAGAGAAACATGAATAAATACAGATATTATTTCATAAAAAGAAAAAATATCTGAATGGAAAAACAAAATCTCAGAAGGTTTTGGATTTTTAACAAAAAGAATATATTAGGGGAAAAACGAAACGTGAATGATAGGATTTAGAAATTTGAATACTGTAAATTAGGCCAATTTCAAGAGTGACGTGGAAAGATGTTTTACCCATTTCAGTGGCAAATACTTGGAAGCAACAGCTTAAACTTTAAAAACGTTTTATATCAGAATGGGGAAGAAAATTGGTGCATCTCTAAGCAACCTGACAAAATATCAGGGTCACATTTTGACAGAATGCCTATAATTATTTTATTTCATGCAAAACAAATAGTAAATAGAAGTTAATAGATAGCAAAGAATCTGTAAAATGTCACACGATTCATTTTGTTGAATTCACAAGACAAGAAGAGTGATATTTCCCATGCTGCTCCAAACACACTAAGCTTGAGGACATGCTGTCCATTCAATATGAAAGATTAGGCATGAAAGTGCAGATTGTGTGAAGGATTACAGTACGTTTGCACCAATGATGTACAAATATGACTAAGAGAATTCAAAACGTGGAACCTTGGAAAGCTGGTTTCACTGCACAACTGGATGTGCTTACTTTGGTCATTTAAAGCATACGTTTATATCTTTGCAGCTCGGTAATAAGAATTGCTTTGATCACTTGTTTTAAATGTGCGCTATACATTACAAGTTAAGACCGGTTTACTGCTGGAGGGTAACTGTACTCATCAGTAATAAGCCGACAATTTTATTTGAATTTGTGAAGTGTGTTTTTTTTATAAAACACACTTCACAAATAAGTAACACAAATAGGTAGGAGACATATTAGAAGGAAGATGACTATTCAAAGAGTTTTTGTGAAATAGTCAATTATGGTAGAAAAAGAAAGAACCAAACAAAAGCAGAAACTTAACTCAATACTTTCTATCTACCAATTACTGCGGATGAGAAAAGACGGTGTTGCGCCTTTTGGGGTTCATTAGATCTTCATACATAATGCAACAAATCTATAAATCATTCATATCAGTGTAATGTGCTTTTATCCAAATCCAAGCAAGATCTCCAAATCAAATGTATTCTCCTAATGGCTGAGGGCTTTGTATTAGAGTGCACAACGTTATGTTTGGGGTTTTTAAGATTTTGAAGTGAGTCTACGAACAAACGTTTCAGTTTCATCAGTAAATGTGTTTGTTGTATTTGGTTTTTTGAATGCATTGATGGCTCCGCTTTGTACAGATAGTCAGTTCTACTGAAAGCAGCTGGGGAGAGATGGCAGAGTTAATTATTTATCATCTTCTCACTGAAAATGCTCATCCTTACCTTGGATCAAGGTAGTTCCAAAAGAAGAGTAAACATTTTTTAATAAAAGCCACATTTACAACATGTAGCTCGTCGTATTGCAAATGTGACAGAATGGAGCATTCATGACATTGGAAACGTTATGAATAAAAATACCAATAGTGCCGATTTGATTCCTGAATTATTTCCTTTCATTTTGTTTAAAAATGAACAATAGCCACAAATTAAATCTTTTCATTTTTGGATGGTATTACAAAGTGTATTTCTATACTAAAAAGGTCCCACATTTCTGGGTTCTGTGACAGAAGATGTTTCACGTGTACGATTGTGTACGAAGCCCTCGCAGGCCGACATTTGTAATTTGCGAATTCTGGAAGAAAAATGTATGCAGAAAAACATGTTGAAATCAGAAGGATCATAATTCCAACATATGAAGGTTGCTTGTATTTCAGATAGGGCTGTTTGTGTTTTCCCAAACAGTGGTTTAAAAATGTTTTTTCCGCCCAATAATCTAATATGCATTAAAGGGTCTGAAGACCTTTATGTCGAACTGTGGCTGAGAAAGATCTTAAACAGGTCAGACAACTGATTTGTTCTCCATCTATTCTGCTGAGGGCCTTGCTGTCGCTTAATTTATTTGTCCATTTTCCAGAGTCAACAATCAATAACCGCTAACATGAATGAGGATTGACCCTTGATTATCCAATTTGTCCAGACGTCTTCCAGGTTCACCTCCCAGATTGTTTAAAACCTTTCAAACCCACTTAGCAAAGCACCGAAGCAAATTCGATAAGACCGAGCAGAGAGATCACTAAATTGAACTGAAAAAGCATCTGGATGGCCCGCGGAGCACGAGAAGCTCAATTACCACGGTCACCTCGAGCCAGTCCTACGGTGAAGGAATCCTCCTCTGCTTGTGCCAAAAGATGGTTTTATCCACCCACTCTACCTTCCGTCCCCGGGTCTAAAGAGGAGCCGGAGCCCGACTACATTCAGCAGTCCAGTGGCTCTTTGTCTCAGAACCAGATAAGCGGCGACACACTTGACTCAGGTGTAAAGAATCGACCTATTATCCACCTGTGAGTCCTACAAGGACTTGCTCAATCCCTCCTTAATCCCACAACAGGAGGTGGGCTGATGTCTGTGCAGGCGGCTCTGAAAGGGCAGCACGGATAAAGGAGCACTGCAGAAGGTGGATGAGGGGGGCAAATAACAGGGGCGGCAGGTCTAAAGCAACACACGGGCAGGCTGGTGGTTCGAATCTCAGGTGCCAAAAAAAACTTGGTTTCGTCGTCCAACCAACACCAGGGTCCAACAAAAACTACCCAGAAGCCACAGTCCAAAAATCCATGAAATGTCTCATGGATATTTCTGATCTGCGCACGCACGCATCTCCACTGGGAACAACAACACATGAGGACGAGTGACTGAACAGATTGTGTTTACAGTAGAGTGCTATAAAACCTGTGACATTTCCATCTCAACCAATATGTTCCGCTAGTCTCTGTCCATGGTTGTGGTTTCACACAGCAGAGATGCTGGACTCACAAGGGTCTTGGAAGCCTTCCCATAATATCTGTCTAGTGCTTCTCTGCCGGCGAACAGGAAGACAGGACTTGTACTATTGAATGGTTTCTTTGCAATTACATGGAATTATTTGGAACCATTCTGTGCTTCTCATGCAAATAGGACCTCCAGAAACAACAAACTGCACAATCAAAAGTAGAAGACGTGACTCTTCCGCCAAAAGCAGTGAAAATTTCAAATGGGCACGAACAAGTAACATTCAACGAAACGAAAAGTACGGAATATAAAACTCTTACTGTCCCAAAATATAGTGTCGATAAATCCAACCACATGAAAGCTGATCAGATGGAATCTGACAGATGATTGTAGCAGAGGTTCAAAAGCTGTTATTTCTAGTAGGTGTTGGTGTGGCGCTTATACTATAAGTGACTGCACAAAAACCACATGACAAAGCTAGCTAGTGTTTCTGGAGAATTTGAGAACTACAAGAAGGCAGAGAACACTTAGATACGCACCATTTTTAAGGGGATATCGAGAAGGGATTAAATAATGTATTTATTTTAGGTTAGCAAGTCCATCACTCCTGACAACCAGATCAAGAGGAAAAGATCCTGATGAAAGAGTCCACGTTAATAGTCAGGCAGTATGCACGACCACAGGCTCCAGACTCGGGCACCGCTTAATAGAAGTCTTTAACTGTATTAGTTACATCTGCGTGTCAGAAAGTCTCCTGGGAGGAATGTCTATCATGTAATCTACTCCATTTCCACTTTCTGACACATCAGTCTCCACCCTTTTCAGCATGCGAGTCTTCACTCCTGTTGTCGCTTCTCCTCTCCCTCGATTCAGTGCTTATCGAGTCGGATGTCACGTGATTTGGGGTTGCATTGTTGGCGCCAGGACAGTGAAACACAGCTTCGTTATCGGGTGGCGCGCTCACGCTGCTCTCCACTGTTTTCCTGGATGCCAAAGTAGGTCAAATTAAAAAATAAAGCACAATCACCCACTAGCGTTAGGACTTTGGAAAGCAAACAGATTATCCATACATGCTGCTTTTGCTTTTTAATGATTGTGACAGCAAATCAAAACTACCAATGCATCTTCCATTCAAAATGAGCTATTGATGAACATGTTCAGTGAATCCACCTCCACGTTGACTCGGAATGATGAGAGTTCAGGGTTCTTAAATAAACTGTTGAAAGTCTGGATCAAATAAAAATAGGATCACCGATATATACAATTCATGAACAAGAATCAAGTATTAAGAAGGGCTTACGTTTGAAAATAAGGCTGCTGCTATAACATTATAATAATAATAATAATAATGCTTGTTGATCTCCATAAAATTGCTGCAGCAGTGAAGCTGTTAAAGCATTTTACTTTACTACAGCGGCTACCTACAGGAAATGCTTTCCACACAACTTCCATAACAGCGGCAAAAATTATTTTGATATTTATATATTTTCAGGCAACTGGAACCACAAACAGGACACGTCCGTGTGAGTACAGAAAACATTACATATTCATTTACTTCATGAAGAAAACAACGCAGTTAACTTTTCCCTTGTTGACTCCGACTAAAACATGTTTTTACATCCATTTAGTCTCCGTATCCTACAGCTGATTTCTACATTTATGTCTTTGACAAACTCACTGATGCTTCCTGGCAGTGCGATTGTCCAACAGTTTACGTAGTCTGCTGCTGTATGGCGGCAAGCTCAGATTTTGCTAGTTGAAACTAATAATTTAAAAAAACTCAACCATAAAACGGCCTTTTCAAGAGTGAACCACGGCTTGGGTTTCCAAGTGGTTTCTTCGAGAATACTATAGTATTTTAAGTAGAGAAGTATAGGCGAATTAAACGTATCATTTTTATGCATTCGTTAACATAAACCAGCAAGACATTAATGTTCTTGTGCATTAGTGTTTATCACCACATGGTGCTTCATATACTATAACAAAGTAATTTTTTTAAATGGCTTATGGAGTATCACCATGTGCAATGCAAGTCAAACATTTACCTCATGATCTCCTCTGTTATAAATCATAAAAAAGGGAAGTGGTACAAGAGCATGAGCGAGAATACACAGTCACATTGAGTCACATCCAGCGAACCCTGCAGCTAATTACTGTTTGCCAACAATTCACAGGCTGCAAATGACATGACTTTGCCTCAGAAGTTTAAGCGCTTTTAAGATAATATTGTTTCAACAAAGCTAGTGGGCTGCTTCTTCTACACAGCACGAGAGGCTTCTCTCACAGTGCAATTCACTGGAAGGAAAATATGTCCTGAAAGATAATTAAATACATCAAACGAAAGAAAAACCTGACCTGAAAGAGGTACAAATTCCTCTGTTAATGCATTCATTTATTACAATATATATACACAGCGAGTCTGCTTAGTATTAGTTCTGGTGAGATGAGCTTTAGAAAGACAAGGTGGAGGAACGTCTACCTTTTACCTAGCGTTGTGAGCTAGATACATTTCCCGATTAGATAGATGTTGTTTTTGAGGTTGACTCAAAGTAAACATTGATTGAAGGAACGTTAACTTCACACTGCAAAGGTACCGCCGCTAACGGCTTATGATAAGTCGCCTGGCTTTGGCAGGAAAACTGAACTTGTTGTTAGGATACTTTTCATAGTTGAAACTTAAAATATCAAATAATTTAAACCACTTTTCCAGATGTAGAACACAAAGGGTTTTGCTTACGTTTGATTTTTTTTACTGACTGATTTGGTAAAACCGCTCCTTGTTTCAGATGACACGAAACAACTTGGACAAAATGGATAAATAACAGCAACTAGAAGTCAAACTGGTTTTCGAAACACTAAGTTTGTCAAAACAACATTCAGTAGTAAACAACTGTTGACGCTTTCCTTCAGATCATCCCCACTATCATGAGACGGAGCATGAGAGAAGAGGCGTGACCAGAATCCAGATAACAAGCGGCCTGGACGATGCAGGAAACGGTTATCAACTTTTAGAAAAAGATGTAATCACATTCAACAGCTACGGATGTGCGGCCGCATGCCTTCTAAAGTCAGGAAACGCGTGTGACACGTCCTCGACGAACTGGTTAAACGAACCCCGTGCTGAGGCTCTGGGCTCCTTACCTCTCAGTGGCTCCTTAGATGATTCCACAGTGTGAGATACGAGCCGTCCAGAGCAGCGGACCTGCATCTACACCCACGGACCTACCGAGCGGCTGACTCCACGGCGGAAGGAAAGACTGGCTGGGAGGCTGGATCACCGGATCACCGGATGACTACTGTTGAGCTGAAGGCGGCAGAGCAGAGAGCCACTCCCCTCGTCCAGCAGCTGACTCGCTGGAGGCTCAGGCGGATGACTGTGGCTGTCTGTCTGTCTGCGTGTGGTTAACCTGGACAGAAAGTCCTTATTAAATAAATTAAAGATTGAGCAACGGACAAAAGATCAAACACTTTACTCACTAAATGATAATTGGCTACCCAATTTAATACCTGATTAAATGAACTGACTAAGGAATCAACAATTTGAAAACAATGCCTGACTAACCAGCGAACCAACTAACGAGCATAACGGACCGCTGGAGCGACGGACGACTAGTTTCTCTCATTAACCAACCAGCCAAGTAGCCGACTGACTTGACAGACGCAGTTTTGAGGCTTCTCTCTTTCTGCTCCTCTGTGTAATAAAAGGGTGGAGCAGGGATACAGTATGGAAGTTGTAGACACACACACACACACACACACACACAGGCTGTGTTTAGCAGTAGTAAAACAGGACGCAAGTAACACATTTAGGTAAGGGAGCCGATGGTTAAATTCTTAGGAAATTATAGTTGCCATAGAAAAAAAAAAATCAAACAAAACGATGTATTCCGTATGTAGTAAAAGTATTTCTAACTATGGAATGGATGATGAAGAAGCCAAAAATAATTGTCACTTATTAATTGGTGCACGTGGTCCTCTGATAACATACTTTAAAATCTGATGCTTCCTTTTAATGGCAAACTAATGTTCCGTTATCCAGATTATTTTACTGTTTAGTTTTGGTAAATATAATATATTGATAAACACAAAAATATTTACCAGAGCTAATTGGGTCTCATCCGAGCCGCATATTAGCCGCACGTCTTCGGCTTCATTTGAAACATCGATCACTCAAAGGGACGCTACCGGCAAAGGTCAGGGAAAGAGGACGAAAGGGTACAGACAAGAGAGACAACTCGCTTTCCCTTTCTTCTTTCTCAAATGTTGACGTAAAGACAAGGGAAACTGAGTTATATCACAGACTGCGCCGTTATCTATGGGGCGCCGGAACAAGGCAGCCCCCACTAAAGGAAATGTTTGCCCCAATTTCCATTACAATGAATTGATTTTGGTGGATAAGGTCACTCCTCAATTCATTCTGCACTTAACTGAACCTAGAGTTTCTTAATATATACATATACACATACAAAGCAAGACCAGAACATGAAGTGTGAGTTTGTGAAGACGCTCAAACTGGTTCTACGGGACAAGTGGTTTAAAAAGCTTAAATAATGAATGAGGTAATGTCTCCTGTCCAGGCCATGAAGCATCATGCAGCTCATGTTGGTGACCTTTAGGCCTCTAAAAGGTCACCTTACCACAACAGTTACCATGACAAAAAAACACCACTGAAACAGTGACGGAGGGAGACAACACTCGGTAATAATAATAATAATAATACAATACTATTCGGTTCTCTCTGGTCTTTTGCTCCGGTGATACCCGGCTGGATCTGGTTGTCAGGATCAGATCATATCTCCCGTCCCGCTTTTCCTTTGATCAAAAGTGCCGGTTGGCTGGCTGCATGGAGAACATTTACTTTAGCGGGGCTACAAAGCACGGAGAGCTTATTTGCATAGCAGATATGGTATTTATCTGTGTTCCACATGATTTGTTTAATAAGAAAATGTATAGAGAGCATGCAGAGGCAAGAAAGGACGCTGCAGCAGACCATGGATTTACAGAGACAACAACCACTCACATCCCGGAGATTAAAATTTTTATTGCCGAAGCCTTCGTTGAGACATTACACAAGCATGTGTGCGTCTTTCCTCCCATCAAAGCACCAGACTCTCCCTTCCCCCCCCGGCAGTAGCAGAGATGCTTTAAAACATTTACCATCCCTCATCTCCCATCGGCTGAATGCGTAAAGAGCAACCCGGTCCAAACCAGTCTGCCCAGACTTTGACATTAAGCGCGAACGAGTCCGGGACGGAAATTCCCAGTGAACCAGAGAGACGTTTTAAAAAAATGAATTGTGTCAACGCATTGGATACCTCGGTCTCATATAGAAAGCACTCATGCTCCTAACAAGGACAAATAGTGTTTTATGGAAATGAACTGACGTCACAGAACCGCGGAGCCAAGGAAGCAAAACATTTGGAAAAACTAAGGAATAGTGTAAAGGTATGAAGATTTTGTACAAATGGATCCAAACATGCAAAAGAAGCAGTGGTTCCAGGATCCAAAAGAACTTTCCAAAATGAAAAATGTCTTCTTGGTAAACTCCTCTGCAGAAATGAACTCTCAGCTGAGCTGAAAGGCGAAAACAATGAGTCAGTCATGCAACTTTCATTACAACCCTGCTAAAGACACTAAAAGAATGTCCTCCCGTATATAAAACGATTAACCCAGAGACCTACACTCAGCACATCACAACAACAGAGTCCTTCTCCTCAGAGTTTGAAGGCACGTAAGCGAAAGGTCACCAGTTCAAATCCCAATGTGAAGACAAAGCCGCTTCCCGGAAACAGGATCAACTACATCTCGAAAACACTAACTCAACATTACACAAGACCCTCGGATTCCAGTTATTACAATGTTGAAGCGGCGCCGTGCATATTGAAGACAGGTGCCGTTACAGCTCTCCTCATTCCATTGGATTTTTTTATTTATTTGAAGACATGTCGGAGATGATAAATGGCAACGCGATGTGTCATTAAATATTCAAGTCAGTATGTCCAGGTGATACCCAGGCGATTCATAGCCATGCTGGCCAATAGTAGCGATGGTTGGTTACTACTTGAAGGATTGCCATGAAAAGATGCAGTGTTGGCAGGTGAAAAGTCTAATTGGTGCATGTAGTGTAGGTTATGAAAGGAAGAAGACCATCTAGTCACCTCGGAGTCAGTCTCAGTCGCTTCTTACAAACATGTATTAACTGTTTGCAGCCACAAGGTTGTTTTCTGCACGCACAAAGGAGGCCGTTATTGCTCGCCTGCTGATCATCGTGTCACAACGCCTCGCTCTTCTCAGGCCGCCCCGATGCTGACGAGTCAGCAGAAACGGCAGCCGGCGATGTAATGACGAGCTCCTGTTTCAGATTAAGAGCGCCGTTCGAGGCAACAGCAAACCGGTTAGTGGAGACGGATGAGCGAGTGTTCATTGATCGAGTCGGTCTATGAGTACAACGTCGGGAACCGAGTGACGAGTAATGAACTAAAACTATTCGTGTGAGCGCAATTGGAGGTTACAATTAAAATGGATATTTAAAAAGGAAATAAAAACCTGCAAAAAAAAAAAAGGAAAACACTGTACAGCCGGATGGAGACTTTGAGGGCGGCAACTGATACCGTAAGAACAGAACTGGAAAACGTCATTCCACCCAAACCTCGTTTCACTTTACGCTTTAAATGTTGGATTTCTTCCTGTTGAAGCCAGTGTTTGCAACATCTGGATATCCCACATTCAGAGGGAGTGAACACACACACGTACGTAAAAAGGGAGGTTTGTAGTTGTAACAAACGTTGAAAAGCATGGAATAAAAATAATGACTTCAACTAAAGCCCCAGAGGGCCCTTAATGAACTTTGTTTCATGTTTACAGCGCCGTGTAAGAACCGCACCCACGGACAGCTCGCCGACATTGAGGAGAGATTTGCTGATGTGTTATTAAAATCGAAAATCTGTATTGTAATTAAAGTGACGGGTTCTATCAGATTATATGGAAATTTTTTGAACCACGCATGATAATTGAGAAAGCCTCAGGAAGCTTCCTACATCATTTATTAGCATTGCATTATCAGTCCAGAAGACAGGAAAATATAGATGGAAATAGAAAGGAGGTATGCAGGGAGAACTGACAGATGAAGAGAACAGCGACCACAAGGCAGCATATTAAAAATGTACGAGTCTCCAGCATACGTGTGAGTGTGTGAAAACTTTCAACAGATTTGTATTATTTCTCTCATTTCACACTATGTGACAGAAAAAGAAGCCTCCGTTTGACGTATTACAAAGTTGCATCAGCTGGAGCTCATCGTAGGAGTCACGAGTCTCCAAATGAGGGGGAGGAAGAGTAGAGAGGAGATGGAGGGGGAGAATGGAAGGAGGACGACGGCAAGGAGGAGAAGGAAAGAAGGGAGGAGAGGAAAGACTAGAAGATATGAGAGAGGGTAAAAGAGAGGGTTCAAGGAAGAAAGGAGGAGGAAGGAATGAAATGAGACACATTAAGGATGCCATGTAAGACAAAGAAGTAGACCGGAAGATTAAAAGGTAAAAGGAAAAGTAGATGAAAAAGAGGAGGACCGCGTGCTCGGACAGAACACAAAGACGATATAAAAAGAAGGTGTGATTATAAACAAAGGCAAAGTGAAGACATAATTAAGCGCAATTAAAGTCCACTCACGTGTTTATCTTTACTGCAAATGCAATCGCACCGCTTCTGAAATTTGCCTCATGCTCTGTGTGAACAAAAGATTAAAGAACCACTAAAATACAAGAAAAACAACTTTTTTAACCCAAATTCCAGGTTCTCGCTCTAGAGAGCTGTCGGCAGCCAAAGGAAAGGAGATCCAGGGCATCAATACAGAGCAGAGGACGGAATGGGCCGACACCAACACCGTACTGGCTAACACACCACACCGTGTCACGGAGAACCAGATGAGGCCGGATTTAAGACGGGTCATTTCACACCAATTGTGCGAGCGGACCAATCTACGAGGGTCTGGTCAACGCGCTCTCCGCACGGCAACCTCTGCACCTTTTACGCTCGACCGCGGCTCCTACGCCACGTTGTTACTCCCACCTGGGCTTTTTCTATTGCGACAAATCAAACTGTGCGTCGTGGGAAAAGGCCTGTTGGAGGAGGAGTAGGAGAACGAAAAGGAGGGGACAGAAAAAAGCAACGTGAAAGGAAATGTGCCAGGAGAGTGAGGAAGGGTGTAGAGAAATGACAATGGTGCCGAGAGGTGACACTGATAATCTCAATCAAGCCGCAAACACGCCGATGTAGCGGCTTTAATAGATATAGTGTTGCACGTATGCGAAGAACCTACGGAGAATTAACACCTGAATCTGCAGATTCCTTTGGCAGAGCTCATTGTTTCGCCTTCCAGCTGCTGCTTTACGGTTTTTCATCCACTCGCTGC